CATGCTCTGGAAAAAATGTGACAAGAAGAATTTCGAGGAGCCATTAAGATAACTGTGGGTTATATTTTATATATCACCACTATATTTTGGAGAAAACTGATATACCCAAAAGTGACCTAAAGGAATTTTTGTCTGTCTCTCATATTTTGTGGAAAAGCTTCATAATAGAGAAGCAATTCATATTCTGTTCTTTTTCTCTGCAAGCCCCCTCCCCCTTCAATCTCCCCATCTCTTTTTTGCATGCATAAATAGTCAAGTGTCTTGTTCCAAAGGTGCTTTTCAAAGGCAACTGGACTTTCTTGGTCCCCCCCCCCCTTGAAAACAAACTGCAAAATAACCGAAGAAGCTTCTTGGTCAAGAAGTGAAATGTCTTCAAAGCAAAAACCAAGAAAGTCCAACTGCCTTTTGGAAAAGCACTTTTGGGACAACCATGACCTGCATGATTGAGAATCTCCATAAGTAAGTCCAGTATTTTGTAGACATAGAAAATGATGATATACATTCAGGTCAATATTTGAGTGGTCCAAGCTGGAGACAAATTTGTGTTCCAGGGATTTTAAGTCAGATTTGAGTGGAATTGTTTTCTGAATATTCAACTCCTAGGAAATAATCTAATAGAAAATTAGGGACGTGGTTGAAGTTGAGGAAGGATGAGGTTGAGGTGACACTTTTGGAGAAGGTTGCTAGTAGCCAACACTGATTTGATGTCATATAATCAGTCAATTATTATTTCCCGATTAATATTACATAAGGTTTAAGTAATGTGTAATATAATTTGTGTGAAAGCGCAATCAAGGAGCTCTCTTTTAACAAACAGTCCTGCCTTCTGCTCAGGGCACTTGGATCAGAGCAAAAATCATGGTCTTGTCGCTAATATGTTCCTCTCCACTATTATAAATAAATGACCAGTAACTCATAGAAGCTGAGAAAAACAGATCAGGATCAGAGATTTGAATTAGCCCAGACTTGGAGTAGCGTGGATTCATTTGTGGTTTGCTGTCTCCCAAGTAAATATATTACAAATTGACCTGTTGTCTTGGAATTTGGACTTCCCCATGTCTGATACATCCTTCCAATAAATAAACATATCAGAGGTCGTCTTTTCTGATGTAGTATGGTTTGCTAAAAGATTAGTTGGCTGCTTTCTTCTCCTGCTGAAACTTACAAAATATTTAAAAGGAAATCAGAAAAAAGAGAACACAGTCATTACAATTTGAATTACTTTTCTCTTCCCAGACAATAGTAACTCTGCTGTAGAACCTTTTTTTTTTTTTTAAAAAAAAATCATGCTCTTACTGACATAATCAATCAAACTTTCCTATTCTTTTTAACGGAGAGAACTGTTTCTCAAAGTTCATCAATCTGTCAGTCTATTTATCAACGATATGTGCTTTATCATACCAAATAAGTCAGCAGGAATTCACACACATTCCCTGACAGAGCTAGATGGTAGTCCCAGTGGGTGTCTTTTCTCCCATGGAAAGCTTGGGAAAGCAGAACTTCCACAAGAGTGTAACAAAACTTTGGAAGTGCTAATCATGTGTTATGGGAAATAGGACTTCTCAGCCACATCTGCCTACTGAGTAACTGGGTCCCTGTGGTCTGTCCTGTTTCAAATTGAAACTCTTGTGGCTTGATTGCCTCGGAGGGTGTGTGTGTGTGTGTGTGTGTGTGTGTGTGTGTGTGTGTGTGTGTAGTCTGAAAAATCTTGACTTTGTTCCAGGTCCAGTTATAAATGTATATTTGTGTCCTGTGGGGAAACTATACATATTTTGCACATTAATCAAAGAACACCAGTCAGCAGAACGGCAATCAATTGCAGCACAAAGCAATCCTCCTTTTTTTTTTCTTTTTTGGAAAGAATGTGTTGCATTTCATTGATCTGAAGTGATCGTTTCTTTTTTCTTTTTAAGGATAAACCCATTCTCACGGAAGAGGGCTCAACAATGTACCAATTAAATATTGCTTCACTATAAAATTCCATCTGACATTTTTCAAATAAATCAAAAAATATTCTTCTAATAGAAGCTGTTCTTTTCTCAGTGCATGGTTTTATGCTCGTCTCTAAATGTTGATTCTCCAAATCGATGAAAGAGATTTCTGCTCTTCAGCATTCTGACATATTGCATTCGGTCATCTTTTTAACACATTACCGGATAAAAAGCAATGATCTATACTGGTATTTAATGTAGTCTTGGCCTCCCTGATTTACCCTCTGATAATCGGTTGGGAAATCCAAAAATGGACAGGAGGAGGGATTATCTAAGTAATTCGATTACTTTGGAAGGTTTCATTCACAGCCAGCTATGTAAGCCAAGAGCTTACATCCAGAGTTCCACAAGGGATGAACGTGGGATCAAGATAATTTTTTTTCCTGGCTAAAATTAATCATGAGCCTCTCCTGGCTTTTGTACACCACATTTTATAAGTACTTGATCCAAACAGCTTCCTGAATGATTAGTTCTTGAAAAGGCTTGGTGCAATAACCAATGGCCAATAAAACAACAAGAATATCAATAACTAATTTTGATGCCTAATAGGTGATAAATGAATAAAATGAGTCTGTGTTCTTAATGTGTGAACTATTTCTTCATGGTGGAAGGGGAGGCATTATGGGTCTCAACTTCTTCCATTACAATACTTCTGTGTTCTCAGTGCCTCAGATGACTCTCAGTATTTGCATTCTTCTCCTTTCGGACTCAGGGTATTGAACAGCCAAAATAAAAACATTTATACATAACATTACAATTAAAAACAGATTTAAAATAATTAATAAATTTGGCCCATAATTTAAAATTTGTCAATTTAAAATCAGTATCAAAATTTTAAAAACCAACCCTAAAATCAAGACAGACCGGCTAACTGAAAAAAGTAAGTTTTTAGGGCCCGACGAAAAGTCCTGAGGTCGGAGATCACTCGTATCTCTGGGGGTAGATTGTTCCAAAGGGCCAGCCGGCATTGTCTGGCCGACGGCACCCTGAGGAGGCCCTCTCTGTGGGAGCGAACTGGCCGGTGGGAGGCTATTGGTGGCAGAAGGCGGTCCCGTAAGTAACCCAGCCCCAAGCCATGGAGTGCTTTAAAGGTGATCACCAACACCTTGAAGCGCACCCGGAAGTCCACTGGAAGCCAATGCAGCTCGTGCAGGAGAGGAGTCACATGGGAGCGCCCCATCGCTCCCATAATCCCCCGCGCGGCCGCATGAATTTAGACATGAATGTAAAGATATCTGACTCAAGTCAGCAGATTTATTCTGGATTTTTTAAAAAACAAGTCTCCCTTTGTTCTTCATTGAGTACTTTGATACAATTTGCCTTTTATTGATTAATAATATTTACAGTTCCTGTTAAAATCTTTCTTTGCTGATGTAGAATTAGCTTTTCTGTGCATGGCTCATGGTACTGAAATGCAAATGGAAGAACAGAGGCAGGCAGGAATAGCAACAGCACTAGCACTTAGACTTATACAGTAAATAGTATTGAATTGAAACATCTACACTTTAATTGTATTACTGCTGGTCAAAAATTTATAGGCTGCTCATGTTCAAAAAAATGTGAACATTAGCAAGTTTATCAAGAATAAAATCATAATTTGAAGGAAAAAAAAAGGATTATTCCTTTTTTGTCCCAAACATAGGCTTGAGGTCATGCATTCAACTGCAATTTATTTATCTAGGCATCTAGTTACTATTTTGACTCAATTTCTGGAAAACTGTGAACTGCCTCAGTGCATGTGTTTTTTGTGGATAGAGTAACATTGAGGGCTAAATAGGGCAACATAAAGCACAGCAATTTGCAGCTAGTTTTTGAAGCAACATCAGCAACTGTCCATTGGGAGCCTCTTGCCATGTCATGTTCTTGTAAGAAGCCAAAGTGAAGTTCATATTATAACAGAGAATGGCCTCACACTGTTTTGTACATAACAGCCTTACCTTCCTGTCTTTAGTTCACTGGAAAACACAGTGTATTTTGATAAGTAGCACAGCAGTATTTTTAGAGAATAATCTTATCATTATTTGAGTACAGCAAGACACCAAGAACCTAATCTCTACTTGTTAAATGAAGGTCATTCCAGAGAGGATATATACTGTTTAAAAATGATCAGGATAATGAAAATAGAATTTGTTATTTAGTATGTATTGTTTATTATGAATTGAAATGCTCCAAATTACAGGAGACCCAAAACTAAATGGGGTGGTACTTAAATAAGACTGTGGAACAACCCCCCCATCCAGCAATATCGAAACGAGGTATCTTGATCTAGCTTAGCAAAACCATCTCAGTTAGAAGCCATCTAGGGAAATGCATCAGTCTAATTGTGTGGAATTAAATAAAGCAAGGTATTAGGGTCTCTCAGTACCTTGGACAGATCCTTTAGGCAGGTCCCCCCACCACCAACTTGGGAAGTTGTCCCAGCAGGATGAAAGGATTTCTAATATGAATGTCTTCTTTTACCTACTTCCTCTGAAAAATGAGCTGTATCTCTTAAAGGTCTAATGATATATTTTGTACTTAGAATATGTGGTGATAAAGGCTGAAGATCCCAGTAGAGCCATGTTCACTTGGCCAAATGATGCCCATCACTACAAGTCATATTCTTATCTGGAGGAAGAATGGGAAATAATCTCCAGAAAAGAACAGGAATTAAGTGATCAGTGGGGCACACACCAGAATTTCATCTTAATGAATCATATATTGCTGTTATTCTTAATTTTTTATTTTTATTTTTGGCTGGGATATTAGAACTATAATGGTCTTTTATTTTATATCAGATAAACCTGTAGATATGAAGGAGAGAAAATGGAAACTAGAAAAAGCAGAATTGATGGTGGTATTTGGTAGGAAAAATGAAGGTTTTAAAATGTTGATTCTATTGTGAGTTGTGATATTAGCATTTTATTTAATTCATGAACTGTTTTGAGAGGACACTGCAGAAGACATCCAGGCAAATGGAAATGACTCTGAATTTTTTGTTATATAATTTTTCTTTATTTTCTGTTTCAGGAACAAGAAGATCCCAACAAGCTTGCTACAAGCTGGCCAGACTATTATATTGATCGCATCAATTCCATGGCAGCAGTAAGTAGCCTCTTTACCCTCTAGAAATTTTGTCTTGATCTATCTAACTCTGTTTGATCTTTTCATCCACCCTAGTGCTGTTGGAGAGCCTGATTCTTAGGAATAATCCAGCTTCCCCACCTTTCTATATTTTCCTAAATTGTAAATGGTCACAAAGCTTTTAAGCCAATGTGCAACTGCTACCAACTCAAGCATTGCCCCAGGCTTTCTGTGGCATGTCAAGGATAGTAGTCCAAAATTGTGTTGGTCAAAACCTATTTAAGGAGAATTTCAGAAGTCCTAAGGCATGAGGGCTGTAGAGTATTCTTGTGCTGTTTAAATCTCCTAAATCACGTAAAAATAAAAGAAAAAAAAAAACCCTCTGAAGTTTGGCCTTACTTGGAGAAAGGGGATCAGAAAAGAGCCTATGCTCCCAATAAACAATTTTGCACTCCGTCTCTAAGCTCTTAAATTTGTGGAGAGAAATGAAAAAACGAAGATGCTAGCTAGGAACTCATTTCTACCCTTCCATATTATTTTAAAGAGGGCAAAAGCAGCATGCCTTTATCTCTATTTATATTTTTTAAACTTAAAAAAGGCTACTTCACTCATCTTCGATAACAGAATAATAGAGTTGAAGGGTCCTTGGAGGTCTTCTAGTCCAAACCCCTGAACAAGCAGCAGACTCTATACCCATGATGGTGAACCTATGGCATGCGTGCCACAGTGGCACATGTAGCCGTATCGGAGGGCATGCAAGCTCAGCTCCGGCGCGCATGTGCGCGCTACCCAGTTGATTTTTTGGACCTTCTGGACCCACCAGAAGTAGAGAAATAGGCTGTTTCCTGCCTCTGGAGGGGCTCCGGGAAGGGGGTGGGGAAGGCTGTTTTCGCCCTCCCTAGACTCCTAGAAAGGGTCTGGAGGCTGGGGACAGCAAAAAATGGGCCATTGCATGCTAGGAGCGGGGGTCAGGGGGGGGTCGCGTGCACATGCGCGGGGCAGGGCGCATAGAATTATGAGTGTGGGCACGCATGCGACACACACCCTGCTCCTGGCATGTGATGGCAAAAAGGTTAGCCTTCACTGCTCTATACCATTCCAGGCAAATGGAATGGTATAGAGTACCATTCCATATAGTATCTTTTTGAAAGCCTTCAGGAAAATAGGCATGTTTTGGTAGTTCTTAGGAATCGCTTCTCTCACCTTTTTCTGAAACACATGAAGCATTTGGTGGAATGGATCTTTGTATTTCTGTGTGAATACTGTGAATATGTGTGAATACTGTGTGAATATGATAATTATTACTGCCATCTTTCCTTCCTCCTCTTTCAGCAATATAAAATGGTGAACAGTTCAAGCATTCTTCTTTCTGTCCTCAGTAGCTTGAACTTAATAACGCAAGCCCCTTTCCTACTTGATGAGAAGAAAGAAAAGTTACTTTTACACCACTGTGTTGCTTTTGGAAACTTGTCAGTACTTGTACTCCAAGATATATTCATTTTGTTAGAAGGGTTTGCAAACGAATGACTGAAGCTACTCTTCAGAACCGTGACTACCCCGAACCTATGATGTGCGTGTGTGTCAAAGGCCAACAAGACAGCTGTTACGCATTTAAATTTCATAATTTAGAAATAATTTACTTGGAACGTAACAGCTTGATGGAGCAGAAAAGAAAATACATCTTTCAGCACACCTAACTCCACTTTGGATAACTTTCAGTTCAACCCACTTCTATAAACAATGGGGACAAAGAACAGGCAATGCATGAAGGTTAATGTATAGGCAGTTCCTATAACAATGATGTCAGATGTTTCCACTTTCCTTGCTCAGGTGTCAGAGTCACTGGATGAGGAGTTTTGCTGTTTTTTTAAAAAAAATGTACATTCACAAATTAGCTCTAAATTATTTGATACTGGGGATACATGGCTCTTCCATCTTTATGGATAAATCCCCCAAAAAAGGCTGGTTCCTTAATGGCAGCCACTACTGGAGAGAGATTAGCTATAAGAGTATTTTGTAGTGATTGGTTTTTGCAATGTTTAAATTTCATTTTTGCCAGAAATCTTAAATGTTCAGTAACAGTAACTCTTAAGAAAAAATAAAATTTCACTATAACCTTTATTGGCAAAGGGCAATATTACTTAATAGAAGAAAGCACAGATTAAGAGCCTTTTATTTTCTGAAAAACCTTCCACTGAGATTGTTTTTTTAAAAGAATTCTTTTTCTTGCTAGCTTTTAAACATTTGGTTTAATTTTTTTTATTATGTTTTTACTTTCTTGCTGTGAAGGGCTGTCCTCTCTGTTAAGAGGGACAATAACTTGCTTGGTTTTAGTGGACTGAATTTGACTTTCCACAGAGGTCACTCGCCAAGGTTTATTCCAAATCCCTGGGCCAGTTGAATAGCATACAGTACAAAGGTCAAATTACTTCACTGACTGACCATCCTGAAGTTTAGACTTGTGTTGGAATATCCAACTCTGAATTTTGTAAGCTGCAAACTCAAAGTGAGATGGAAAGTTTTGGGGGAAAGGAGTAGGGTATAAAGGGTATGAGTGAAATAAATTTTTTAATGGAAACTATTGGAAAATTTTTCTCTTTTGTAACAGTCTACTGTAAATGTCTGAGAATATTGGTGGTTTTTTTAAAAAAACCTTTTTTCTTCTTACTGTTATTTAAAATCAACTGCAGGTGAAAAATGAAATATACAAAGAAATTGTAATCATGTCTATTTGAAACCCAAACTTTCAAAACCAGAAGGGCTTCCTAGAAAGTAAAATCTTTTCTTTCAGCTCTGTTGCTGAAGGTTTTGTTTTCTTGACAGCATCCAAATGGTTTCTCCAACTTGATTGGGCGGGTAGTGCTTGATTAATCTTGAATTACTCAGTAATTGCATCTCTTCTCCTGTTCTGGATTCGTAACTCTTCCATGGTCTCATCCAAACAGATGCAGACTCTATATGCTTTTGATGAAGAAGAAACAGAAATGAGGAATAAAATAGTTGAAGACTTGAAAACAGCTCTGCGAACTCAGCCCATGAGGTATGTCATATATCTTGCTTCCATTTGTCAGATGCTTCTTAGGGTAGAACTACCAACTATCTATCATGGGGAAAAAAAGTAAGATACAAGATAATCCCTTCCCTTGTTCTCAAAATATCATGTAAAGAACACCAGACTAATTGAAGATAATTTTAATTTTTCTTGGTATAATGTTTTAGAATGGAGCTTAGAGAGTAGTCAATCACCTTCTTTCTTTAAGTAGATCTAAGCTCAGTTCTGAAACAATTATATACATTTCTCTTTCTAAATTTATGTCTTCGTTGTCACCTTCCACTTGAACCATATTGAATATTAAAAATCTTTTTTCCCCTCTCTAGTTATTTTTTTGACCTACAAATTCTTCTACCTTTCTGATAATCTAGTTGATGCTTTCATATGTTTACTCTATACACCTCCTTTCTCCCCATTGCTTAAATCTGTTCTGGGTCTAATGGCTTTTAAAATTCCAATACTTTATTACTACCACTATGTGAAATACTGAGCTTCTAATATACGAAATGAGAGAAATAGAAAGAAACATGGGAAGTTTGTACATAGAACTTGATATAATCTGAACTCCTGCTAAATTCCATTTGTGTAGGCTATACACAGTTGTTGCACAGGATAAATCTCATCCGGTAGAATCTTGAAATGTTAGCATAAAATATTAGGCAATCTTCTTTTAGTTTTCTGCATGAATCACTAGAGTTGCGCAGAGATTTGTAGTTAAACAATTGCTCTTCATTTTGGTTCAGTACTTCCATGATAGAATCTTTCTGTATATTAAAGATGGAGAAGTCACAGAGGACGTAACCAAGCATGCTTTCTTCTGTTGCTGATGCAAGGTTTTTAAAAACAATGATATAATACTGCAAATTATTGATTAATCAGCCACATCAACCTCTTTTGTCCAAATAAGTTATTCCATAATAGCAGTGGATAGTGTGGACAATTTTTCTACTTGCCCTGCTAAAAATCTCTGTAACGTGTATACTATATATAGTTTCCTATCATCCTTTTCTATCATGCCAGGAAAGACATTACTAATAGGACTGGCTTTTTTTCTGAAACCTTTTGGAGTTCATTTGGAATTTTTTCCAGATAAGTCCAGCATTACTTTGGCTAAAGACCTCTGACAGCAGGCATTTATTTCCTTTGTTTATAACAGCTGTAATGAGTGTCGTCAGCAGCAGCCACAAAGTATCACATAAAGTCTTTGCTTCTAAATTGCTGGCTGCAACCCTGAGGGCTTATCCTTTTTTCTTTTTCTTTTTTTCTTTTTTAGCAATCGCCAAGCCAGATTTCAAGTTAAGTCTCATAGCTCAACTGATTCCAGGGACTCAGTTTGCTTATTGCAGGATTGACTATATGCCAACCCTCGTTACCTAAGCCAGTTCGGTGTTTAATGGAAAATAGAGGTCCTCGTGGCTCTATCCAGTCCTTTTTTGATACAAAGTCCCCCAAGATATTGGTCTTGGAACCAAAGAAGGATGGTTGCTGTTTTGTAATGCCAGTTCGAAAGCCTTATAATCACACCTCTGGCTGAACCTGGAGTAGCAATAAGCTTGCCTTAGTGTTCATATTTGAATATCTGGCAAAATTGAATATATTTATGGCATACGCTCACCCATAAAATTAATTTTATGAAGTGTTTATGTAGCTTGCTAGCTGATTCCGTTGTAATTAGGTTTGTATCATTCTTTGCCAAAGAGAAGTCAAACTTTGCACTTAGGACACCTCATTTGTAGCTCAGAAATAATCACAACACATTAAACACATCTGCAGAATCTTTCCTGTTTCCAATATCACCCTTGGACATCGGTGGTAGAAAACGTGAAGCAGAGGGAGGAGGTAAACTTCCTGTATATCTCATACAAGCCTTTCAAGTGACTTAGTGGCTGAATTTTGAACTTTCACCAAATATTTCCAAGGCTTTTCTACATTTGGTCCTTGGCATTAGGGCTGTGTAGAGCTTCAAAGGCCATTTTGCTTCATCAGAAATCCAGTACAAATTAGCTAAATAAGCAGTGAAATGCAGAAAGGAAGTCTAGTAAGAATTATGAGCCAGATTATCTCTGCCTTGGTGCCTTTTCTACCTCGAGGTAGTAAAACACAGTTCTGCAAGGGACTTTGCTGCTCATCAAGACAGATCACCTATAACTGTTGATTGAATTTGTTCCTTTTTATTTGATTCAATGATGTCTCTTAAGTAAGAAGAAATTTGGGCATGCAAGTAGCTGGCCATATTCTAGGAATAAAAATGTCTGCATCAATTGTACTGGAGGGATTCTCCTGGGTGTTTAGTGAAATTCCATTGTTCTTTCAGATGGTAGTTACATGGCCACAAGAGGCACCACATTAATAGAACAGCCTTTTTCCCCCTTTGTAAGAAGAATTTGAGGTCCAAATTGAACTCAGATGTGTTTCAGTAAAGTGAATGGACCCTTTGGTACGAAAGGTAGATTTTTACAATAAAGTTGATTTTTAATAGTAGCCGTTGTACATATCTCCATGTCTTGTACAACTGAACTGTAGAAATGCTTTAGCAGTTCAAGCCAATTCAGCAATTACAAAGCATTCAGTCACACTGCTTAGGGAAGACCTGACAATAACTTGAAAGGAACAATTGGAAGAGAGTGAAGATTTCCTTGTGAGTCGGTTTTAACCATCAGCAACTATGATTATAAAATATCAGGTTTTGAAACACAGGGGAAAATGTGTAGTGCCGCTTCTGTTAATCATCAGTTACCTTGGCAAGTCAGGATGTTGTGGAAAAGAAAAAGTTCTAAATAGAATAGGCAAAACTTAGCTGGACTTTGCTTAAAGAGTGAACAAAATGGAAACGTATCAAGAAAACTTGTTTTCTTTTAGCAAAAAAATACTTCCATCATCTAGCTGATTAAAAAAAAGTCATTGGAAAATGTGTGTTTTATTTTAGCATGCCTTTGTCTTATTCTTCTCATGACCTCTGGTAGATGGAACCTATTTCAACCCATATTTTAGGTGGGATATAAGACCAGGATTTTTCAATGGTGAACATATCCCTTGATCATAATATCTGAAGTAAAAGTGGAATGGAATAGCAGCTGCCAGTTAGGTTTAAGATGTGCAGGGTGTTGTGACCCAGGCCCAAGTAAATAGTAGAAAAAACAAAACAAACTTTATTCGAACAGCTGAGAATTACTTTATTCCCAGCGTCGTTCAACTAAATTAAAGCAAATTGCTCCCAACACAAATTCCTCAGTCCTATCTCAAACCTTGGTCCAATTAGGCAAACTTCCAAAGGCCTTTCTTGGCAAACGTTCAGAAGTCACAGATACAAAAATAAATACAAGACGTAGATGAAGAAGAAGACGAAGCTACCAGCGTTGTTTTCCGGCAAAGCCCAAACGCCATTACTGGTCTGTTTTAAGCCTTATGGGAGGGGCCAATCATCTCTTGGCCCTACTCACAAGTTGTCCTCTTTGCTTGAGCTGCTCTTGCCTTCTGGCAGCTCTTCCAATGCGTGCATTAGGAACAGGTTTCTCCTGCCTCACTCCTATCAGGCTCTGGAGACTCTGGAGTCCGCACCTCACTCCCCGATGGCCCTGGCCCCATCTCTGCCTCTGACGCTGAGCCCTCATCCCGGCCTTCCCCAGACTCCAGGACTGGCCCATGTTCTTCCTCAGCCTCATCGCTGTCTGACTCCACTGCCAGCTCCACAGGCTGCTGGCAGACCACAACACAGGGCAAATTAATTATGACATTCCTTTTCCACAGAATGTGATATGAATGAAACTCAAAGAAATGATTCTGTAGGACATTTTTAAATCCTGTGTTCATAAAGAGCACAAATTTTGTTAGGCAAGGGTTTCATTGTGAATAGTACGCCAGTGACTGTATTCCAAAAAGTGGATGGGGTAAACAAAAACTAAATACGTTTTTATCTAAACTAAGCATAAATTTAATTTCAAGATGCATGCTTGACTACAGTTGTTGAATCAGCCATAGGTGTCATTTGTTGGACTAGGAGCAACATTGTTCAAATTGCAATGGCTGGGTTCATAAAACAAAGCAAAACTTTTAAAAAACTCATCCAGATTGGATCCTAAAAAGATCTGTATGATGGCTTGGCACAATATGCAAATGCAGCTAGTTTTTAGAGCAGGGAGAATAATTGTAATGTATAGAAATATTCCAAGCTAAGTGTTTCAGTCAATTAAAGTCTTACGGTTTTCTACAAGAAAAATAAGAACACAAACACATCCTAAGATGGAGAATCGGTGGTTTTCCAGGTTATAGCAGAAACAATAGCTCCTAAGTGGGTATATTGCCTATTGGGTTTTCAAGGACTGAAGGTTTTCTGGATGAGCCCCCAGAAGGTAACACCAAATGCCACTGTTGTGTGTCCTCTCCTTTGAAACAGGTGGGAATGTTGTTCTGCAAATTAATTTGGAAAGAATGCTTTGCTTAGGGCATTGAAGCCAAGTCCCCGTTTGAAAGCTTTACTAGAAGGGAAAGAAAACCATTCTATCATAACTTTTTCTTGGCTGTCTTAAGTTTTCCTCAAATAGATTTTTTTCCTCTCAGAAAAGCATCGAGTGATGTTTTTCCTCATCTGAAAACCCATCCATAGGTGAAAAACAGCAAAGAAATGTTAAGATGAAAATGTGACTTAAATGCCAAGACTGTAAGTCACACAAAGCAACAGTTACCTTTTTTGGGAAATGAGAAATGCAATCCTGGAACTGAAAGCCAAAACTAACAATAGACAAGCAAATCATTGCCATCTTCATGCTCTTTCATTGCTTATGCCAATGAAGGTTGGAAAGAATGCTATCCCAAAGTGATTTTTATATCTTGGCCATTTAATGCATTTCTGTCTAACCATTTGTGGTATGTGTTTGCTCTTAAGCTTTGTTTGTTCTCAAAGACTAATTTTAAAGTTCAGGCTTGAACAGGTACCAAACCTCAAACTAAATCTCTTGATACTCTGTAAAGCTTTGGTTTTTCTCCAGACCTTCAACCAGTGAGATAAAGTTACTGCAGAGATAAGCTATGCAAGGAATCTACCCCCAATATTGCATAGTTTCTCTATGTTATATAGTTATTCCAGATTTCTATTATTTGATGTATTTTGTGCATATGCATTGGAAGCTCAAGTAAAATTTATAAAAAGTATTGTTTTATGGTCTCATCTTACGGAAATACTGCAAAGTGGCCTGATATTGGGAGCCACATGGTTTGTGCCAAATTTTAAAACTCCAAATATATGAAACAAACCTACATATTTGCACCGGTATGCCCCAAATGGTTGTTTCATGGAAATTGTATTGGTTCCATCTTAGATTTGAATTGTTTTGTTTGCTGCAGGCCATTTGAAATGTACATCTCAGTACCATATTTTTTTTTTTTGCAATTCATTTATTTTTCATTTATTTATAGACTACTTTAGGCTAGAAGAGATATCTTGTCAGTTGCTCACATTTGAACTTAACAAGGGATATTTGTTGATTTTTTATTTTTATCATCTTAAAGTGGATGTTCCATTATTGGAGGTTTGAAGAAAAGATTGGACAACCATTTCTCTGGGATGGTATAAGGACTGCTGCCTTGACCAGGGGCTTCAAATAGAAGACCTCCAAGATCCTTTCCAGCCTTGTGCTTCTATGATTTTAAAGTCATCCATTTTTGCATCCATTACCACAAATTTACCTCTACACTATACCAACAAAAAATATTGTTCAGACTGTTTTTTGATTGTGTTGCAGAAACTTTCACCAGGGAATGGATGCATGGATGGATCATTTCCCAGATTATTAACTCCTTTCTTGTATAAAGTGGCCATGCCTTACCATGTCTTGATTAATTAAATACACTGAAGCAGCTCCTTCAAGTAGCATTGGCAAATGTAAGCTGAGCCATTCGGTTCCATGAGTGGTATAGCCATCTTTGCATCACTAGCAAGTACTGGTATCACGAGCCTAAGTTTCATGGCTATCCATGTTCTTAAATCTATGTAGAATTATAATGAGGCAGGAAAAGATCAGACATTGCAAACAGTAGAATAGAAAAAAATGAAATTCTGAAAGATCAAGGATCACTAAAGTTTCCATTTGTTGTAGGGTGTGGTACAAACTTAAATACTGCTTGGGTTTTTATTCTGTAAGTATTTGTAAGACAGAAAGAGAGATTGTGTGTGTGTGTGTTGCACAGAGATCTAGAGGACTTACAGCAAATCAAAGTAAAACACATCACTTTAAACTATAGAAATAGAAAACACATGATAGCAGGAGGGAAAAACAGTAGCAAACAAATATTTTTCAATAGCATATGATAAAAATAGCATGTGATAAAAACAGTAAAGAGGATTAGAACTAAAGGCCTTCCTAAAAATAAACCATCACCAGCTCCTGGAAGATTGTTGGTAAACAAATGAAATGTGTCTCCCGAGAGGAATTCTAAAATGTTTATACAACTATTCAAAAATCTCTCTCAGGCAATGTAGGAATTCACAAGAGACTCAGAACTTGCAAAGGAAATCTTGATATGCAGGGCAGATTCATTTGGGAGAAACTGGTCCTTCACAGATCAGGATGCTACCTTTTCAGGTTCTGTGCATAACTGCATATGGAGCTTCAGGCTTTCCTCTCCCTCTCAAATGGTCAAACATACCAGAATTTCAGCATTCCTGTATGGTATATTTAAGATGTAAGAATGAATTGGGGAACTTTGGGATAGAGCCATCTTGCAAGGTTAGAACCATTTTAAAAAGATACTATTTTAATATAATGTAGAAGTATTAAGAAGGCTGTTTTGGGGATCGGTGGACTCTCTGACTCTCATGATATCATTTTACTCCAAGCAGTGCACTGCCAGCACCTGTCAACTTGAATTTATTGAATTGTACCTAGAAACAAATTAGAAGCCAATACATTTTGAATAAAATAAGGTGCCTTGTTTCCAGATAGCTATTTTAAGTGTCAATAAGTAATTTTCTCTTATTTTCTCTTGTCCGTATATCCTATGATAAATTATTTATGAGTAGTATGATTTTTTCCCCACTTTTCCACTTTATTAAGTACATAATATGGTTGAAAAAAATGTCTATTTTATGTTCTTGAGCTACATTCATAGGTAACTATATAATGTCATGATTGCAATAGCCATTTTTCTAACAGATCTCAGAGAATACTAGCTAGTCTAAAAGAAACATTTAAATATAGAGTTTTTCCTTGGGTTTGACTATTGAGGATAAAATCATTTTTTATTTGTAAAGAAGCATATTCTAAAGAGAATTTTCAGCCAATGGCAACTTTATAGGTTTAATATTCTCATAAATAAGGAAAATGTAACTATATGTAGATAAATAGTGGGCAATAGTATTTTATCTATTTTAGTAGATGATTTGCACTTTAAAATCAACTTGGTACATGTTTTTAATTTTCATTTTCTGTTTGCAGAAAAGTAAACTTTAATATATAAAATATACTGGGCATATACTTTGATTTTCATGTCTCAGCAAAGAAATACAAAATCAGATAGTTTGTTGGACGTGAGTTTCCACTATTTTTTCCATCAGTATTTCAACCAAACAACTGACTGACAGTGAGGACAGTATGTTAGTTATTTTCTGGCATAGAAAATATCTGCTTAGATAGGAGAAAATGTGGTCAAAAGGCTGTTAATAAGCTGAAATGGCTTTGGGAAGAAGACAGCAAGTATTGCTCAAACCTTTATCCTTGTGGAAATTGTTTTGTTAGGTCAAGTGAGTCATTGTTTTTTCAAATTATGTTATTTCAAGTCATTTAAATGTGTGATGTTGGATCCATAATGCAATTTCTCTTTGTAGCAGAAAACAGAGGGTGCTGAACAAATTTTATTCCACATACACATCTGCCTCCGTAAAAGGGTTTGCCCAGATCCTCAGCTATGTACACTTAAGAGCAGGGGTGTCAAACTCATGGCACATGGGCCGGATGCATCATGCACTGGCTACGCCCATGCCCAGTTTAGCAAGGGGGGGGGAAGTCATGATATGTCACGTGACAACACCGTGACGATGCATGTTTGACACCCCTGCTTTAGAGTTTCCCAAATTAAGAGAAGAGGCAATTTGGTTCTTTTATTAATCTGACACAATTTATGCAAAGTGCCTTCATTGTTCTTTTTTCCCCCTATCTCTGAACAGATTCGTAGTAAGATTTATTGAGCTGGATGGCCTGAGCTGCTTGCTGAACTTTTTGAAGAGTATGGACTATGAAACCTCTGAAAGCCGTATACACACATCCGTTATAGGATGCATCAAGGCTCTGATGAACAACTCCCAAGGACGAGCCCATGTTCTAGCCCACCCGGAAAGCATCAATATAATTTCGCAGAGTTTACGGATGGAGAACATCAAGACCAAGATTGCTGTGCTGGAGATCCTTGGGGCTGTTTGCTTAGTGCCAGGAGGTCACAAAAAAGTTCTGCAGGCCATGCTTCATTACCAGGTCTACGCAGCGGAGAGAACAAGATTCCAGGTAAAAAATGATGAATTGAGCAAGATGACTTGTAGAGCTGGTTCTTTGCGTAAAACAGAATAAATCAATCAAAATAGAGCTGGAAGGGACTTTGGAGGTCTTCTAGTCCAACCCACTGCTCAAGCAGGAGACCCTATACCATTTCAGATAGGTGGCTGTCCAGTCTTTTCTTAAAAGCCTCCACTGATGAAGCCTTTACAACTTCTGAAGGCAAGCGGCTCCACTGGTTAATTGTCCTCACTGTTAGGAAATTTCTCCTTATTTCCAGGTTGCTTCTCTCCTTGATTAGTTTCATCCATCCATTGTTTCATGTCTTGCCTTTTGATGCTTTGGAAAATATGTTGACCACCTCTTCTTTGTGGCAGCCCCTCAAACTGGAATACTGCTATCATGGCATCCCTAGTCCTTCTTTTCTCTACTGCCCTTAGGATCTATGGATAATCTGCCCCAGCTACGGATCCCAAAGAACACAGCACACACAAACTCTGAACAAAACTTAGTTTACTCAAATAACGCAGTTTTAGCAAATGCCGGCTGTTAATAAGCGTTCTTAACAGCCTGACAGAATTCCACAGATAAGATAGTCAGAGTCTTATTGGAGTTGGCAGAAAGCCCAGAAGCAAGGTTGCAGAGAAAATCCAAACTCGATGATTAGCAAACTAAAGTTATTTCCTACAGCTTGTTGCAAGCTGCGATCTTTCTTAAATAGGCTAAGGGAGTGGCCAATTAGCTCCAAGCCTTACTCTCGAGGAGACCTCCTCCTGAGGAACCACTCCTGCCTTTTGGCAGCTCTGCGTGCCCGTGCGTTGAGAAGAGGCTCCTCCTCTTCATCCTCTTCACTTACAGGAGCCTCTGGAAGTTCTGAAGGCCCTGACTGAATCCCTGCCTCTGGCATCACATCTTCTTCAGCCTCCTCGCTGTCCGACTCGAGCGTCGGCTGCACAGGCTGCTGGTGCCGCACCACACCAGCCTCCTCGTCATCGGGATCAGCAACAATCCACGCAGGCCACTGGCGGGCTACAACAATGGACATATATGGATATAAGTCCATATGGATATCCATATAAGTCTAGGATCATCTTTGTATTATTTTGTTTAATAATCTTCCATATCTTAACTTCACAATACTACTCAAGAGAGACATTTCACCTAGTGTATGAAATCAATAATATGTGAATTCCTCACTGTGTTTGTGAGAATTTTGATCCAGTGTGCTGAGCTAGACCATTTCAGAGTATGGTAGGCAAAAGAACAACTGACATTTTACACCAATTTAACTTTTATCTTTTCTGAACAGATAGATAGCTATCCACCTTTTCTGTCTTTTCATAGACTAAAAATGGATCCAAGAGACATTTTTCAAAATAAAAGCGATGCCAGAAGTTTTGTGATTTATTGACTGACTAAAATAATCTCAAAATTTATCATCAGTCAGGGCTGCGAGCCTATGGCACCCTGCTGACTGCATTTATCCTAACACTTCTTTTAGCAGTAATATTACTAGCATTACAAAATAATGATGATAAGAGAGTATGTATAAGTATGTGTACTTCGAATTGCTTAAAAAGAATATATGTGACTACATGTTCTGAACATGTCAACAAAATGTGGATATGTAATAACAGAGCAGTTCATAGGATGCCTAATAGCCTGAATGTTGAACACTGAATATATTTACTTAATTTGCTTTGTTTTTGGAAACACTTTCAGAAAACTGAGTCTTAATGTTGTGATTAAAATTCGGCAATTACAGGTGTGCAATACTTGAATTGACAGCAGGAACAGGATTTTTGGATCCAGTGTGGACGAACTCAATGTAGTGGCCAGGAGCTTCTGAAAGAAACTTTTTTTCTTCATTGTGATAATATACTTTTGAGTTAAGGAGGCCTTAAGGAATTAGACTATGCATTACTGCCCTGTTACTTCTTTAATTCAGGCATCTATTTTCCTAGACTTGTTTAAAGAACCAGTGACAGGTACAGGAAATGTGCTCATGCCAGATCCAAAGTATATTTCCTCCTACAGATCCAAATATTGAATATCTCTGTTTGTGATATAGCAGATTTACATATATGTCAAAGTAGCTTTGGAGTCAGATACTATGTTTTAAATATGTTGATATGGGAATTTTCTCTTAGAACAAATAGTGTTTGTGTGTGTGTGTGTGTGTGTGTATCAGTGGTGAAATTCAATTTTTTTTACTACCAGTTCTGTGGGCGTGGCTTGGTGGGCATGGCTTGGTGGGCACGGCAGGGAAAGGATACTGCAAAATCTCCATTCCCACCCTACTCCAGGGGAAAGATTCTATAAAATCCCCAGTCCCACACCATTCTGGGGCCAGAGGTGGCATTTGCCAGTTCTCTGAACTACTCAAAAATTTTGCTATTGGTCAGAACCTGCTGGATTTCACCCCTGATATGTATGCATGTATAGATATATAGATATATATACCCTGTTTCCCCCAAAATAAGACATCCCCTGATAATAAGTCCAATTGGGCTTTTGAGTCCATGGCAATAAGGCCAAGCGCTTATTTCAGGGTTAAAAAAATATAAGACAGGGTCTTATTTTCGGGGAAACAGGGTAAATATGAGCATTTCACAATTTCATGTAACAGTAAAATGAAAAACTAGAACTAGAAATTCTCTTCCTAATCTCTCTCTTTAACAATCTAAAAGTGAATAAAAATAACTTGGGGAAAAAAGTAATTTCTTAACTAGTATGGAACAGCATAGTTTTTACAGAATATGTATGACTACCTTTTTGACAAGTTATTGTTTGTTGTTTTCAGAGTATTTTATGAACCTTTAGGAACTAACATCCTATCTTTTCCATGAATGTGCAGAATGTCCATATATACATGTGTAGTATAAAAGGAGTTAAGGATGAATCTTTGCCTGCTTGGTTTTTTTTTTTTAGTTCCATTATGAACATAGTTTTATTTTATTTGCTTGTTCATTTGTTTTTCTGAGTCTGTGCCTAAATGCCAGCCTTTCTTTCTGCAAAGTTCCTTTCAACAGTCTAAACTTGTTCAAGGTACTTCAGGCATTCTTTCTTTCTTTCAGTTTGGTGTCAGAAGTGCTAGCATTAGCATAACAGATTCAAAGTTAAATCTAACTTGGCTGCTTCTATCATTATGAATATTCGTGCAGTAATGCTTGTCAGATTTCTGTGATTAAAACTCAGCAGTTATTGTAGAAAACAAAACATCTAGTCACCCCCAAAAAGTTGATATGATAGTTGTTGTTAGTTGGGAAGTCGTGTCCGACCCATCACATCCCCATGGACAACATTCTTCCAGGCCTTCTTGTCCTCTACAGTCCTCTGGAGTCCATTTAAGCTCATGCCTACTGCTTCAGTGACTCCATCCAACCACCTCGTTCTCTGTCGTCCCCTTCTTGTTTTGCCCTCAATCTTTCCCAGCATTAAGCTCTTCTCCAGTGAGTCCTTCTCATTAGGTGGCCAAAGTATTTGAGTTTCATCTTCAGGATCTGGCCTTCTAAAGAGCAGTCAGGGTTGATCTCCTCTAGGACTGACCGGTTTGATCGCCTTGCAGTCCAAGGGACTCTCAGGAGTTTTCTCCATACCATAGTTCAAAGGCCTCAATTCTTTGGCGCTTAGCCTTTCTTATAGTCCAACTTTCACAGCCATACATTGCAACTGGGGAAACCATAGCCTTGACTATGTGCACTTTTGTTGGCAGGGTGATGTCTCTGCTTTTTAGTATGCTTGATATGATAGTGCTCTAAATCAATCATCTAAAACTATTTTGAGATTTAGATTAACTTCTTACCCAAATATGGACAGAGAATTGTGAGGAATTATAAAGGGGTGAGTTATGAAACATACAGAAATTTTATCAGAAACGTATAAAAAAATTATCAGAAAAATATCTTCACAATATTCAGCTGTAGCAGTTACACCTTATGTATATTATAGATAGAGCATCATTGCTAAGGAATGTATAATTGATATCCCTCATTTTTATGTTATATTTATAACCAAAGGTATGCAAATATCTAGGAAACCCTTTAAGTCCCCATTGACATTTTAGAAGGAAATGCCTCCTGTCATCTAGGCAATATCATTTAGATTTGCCCAGAGAATGGAATATTCCACAGGGCTTGAATCTTGCTGAGTTAAGTTAATTCCAGTCAGTCATCATAGGTCTCCCTGCCTCTTCCCTTAGATATTAACTATTCAGCCTCAAACATCAGCCCTGATGTTTTACAAGTGGCTATTTGGCACTGACAGCAAAAGTGTTATTAACGTTCTTCCTGAATAGTAAAAATTAATGATGAAAAATCCTCTCAGCCAAAATGACAAAGAAGTGAAGACTGAGCCTTTCTTGGTCTCCGATTGAAGAGGAAATTGTGGGTTAATAATTCCAAGGAGGAATCATTTGAAACTTTCCCTTCCTAGATGAATAAAATGAATATGTCTATACATCATCGTCTTCCAATCTAGAAATTCTCTTATTAAGTAGTAAGCACAAATCTCTTCTGTTCCACTCAGCATGGTCAACCATCTCCCTTTTTACATATGTATATAAATACATGTATGTGAATGTGTATTACAGATGCCAAAATGGAGACTTATTCCTTGATATATGGCTTATACAAAGTGGACTTTTCAATAGTGTTTTCATCAGTGTATTATTCTTTTAACCTGAAGAAAGATTCCCTCAAAGTCTTAATAATGTAGATTTTAATGTCTATTATACATCCTTAATATAGAATAGCTACCTCAAACAGTCATTCACATATGTGAATAAGTGGGAACAAAGAACTCAGCGAATGCTTTCAATTTTAAAAAGCATGCATGATTATTTGTCTAGATGTCTAAATACCCAGAAAGGCAAGAAGAATTAATTTCCATTACGAGGGAGAAAATAGCATAGTATGAACACTCCCTAACATATGGGCTGTTATGCTGAAAATAAGATCTACTCTGGGGAAAAAGCCAACGGTTACATTGTAAGCCCCATGATCCTCTGGATAGTAGGCTATCAATTTTTTTAAAACAAACAGGAAATATCTCACTTCAAGGTTGATTGCTGAGCATTAAAAGGATAACAGCACATAGGCTACCCTCCAGAGTTGGGATAGATAATCTCCAGATGTTTTTGAATGCAACTCCCACATTGGCTTGAAGTGAAGAGTACCATTTTACCTATCCTTGCTCTGTAGTATCAGCTTTTCATTCTAAATTTAAATGGAATTAAATGCATCATATTGTTCAGGCACAATCCAAGAATGCTGTCCAGAAACAGGAAAAAAAAAAGATAAAGCATACAATTAGCAATGCTGATTTGCTTAATTACTGTGATTGAATAGAATACACTGAGATATGCAATACATTGTTGTAGTCATGTCTACAAACCACAGTAGCTTGGTTCATACAAAATAGCTGTAGCCAAACCCAACCCAACCCAACCCAACCCATAGTGACCCAGTGCAGCAAGTAATAATTGGGAGACTAAATGGAAGAAAAGAATAAATAAATAGCAATAGCACTTAGACTTCTATACTGCTTCATAGTACTTTACAGTCTCTTAAGCAGTTTACAGAGTCAGCATATTGCCTCCAAACAATCTGGGTCCTTTTTTTTACTGACTTGGGAAGGATGGATGGTCAGGATTGAACTCCTGGCAGTGTGCAGAATCACCTGCAATACTGCATTCTAATCACTGTGTCACCACTGTAGTGACACTGTAGCGCCAGTTGTTTAAAACTATCCAGTTGATTCCATCTGGCTTAAAAATCATGCACAGTATTGTATGAAGCCTAGTTTCTCAGCTTAACTACCCAAACCCATTGAAGCATTTGAACAGATTTCATGGTCTTGGAAAAATTAATTATCCTACAATATAATTTTGTCCTGCCCATCTCAATAACAGAGTAACAGAGTTGGAAGGGATCTTGGAAATCTTCTAGTCCATCTTTCCACTCAAACAGAAAACCCTATGCCATTTTAGACAAATAGTATCCAATCTCTTCTTAAAAGTCTCCAGTGTTGGAGCACCCACAACTTCTGGAAATTTATTAAATGATAAATAAATAAATTACTATCCTGTCTTGCTATTACCACTTCTCTTGCTTTACAGACTCTACTCAATGAGCTAGACCGAAGCATGGGGAGATATCGTGATGAAGTGAACCTAAAAACAGCCATCATGTCCTTTATTAATGCTGTATTGAATGCAGGTAGTGGAGAGGTGAGTGTATGTGCTGAATTTATTTTAATCTCTGTCATTTAATCTCTGAAAATAGCTGGCAGAATTTTGTGGCATAATTAATTCTTCTCTAAATTCTTTAAGCTATATTTTCATGATTTGAATCTGAGGGCTTTTTTTTCTTTTTCTTTTCTTTTAGGACAACTTGGAATTCCGACTGCACCTACGATATGAGTTTCTAATGCTGGGTATTCAGCCTGTTATTGATAAACTCAGAGGACATGAAAATGCAACATTGGACAGGTGAAGCAAAAGACTACGTTGTAATGACAAATGTATAGTCTTCTAATTCAATTTAATATAGCATAACGTGGCCATTTAAAGAAAAATATATTTCAGATCACATAATGTACATCTTCTGGCACCTCACAATTGACACCAACAATTTCAATTGTACAGTTAGCACAACATAACTGAAATTTTTATCAATATATTGTATTGCTTCCTGAGGAATCAGTATGGTTTGGATATCAACAGACTCTAAATATGGAGGCTTATTAAATGCATGGGAACTTAATGAATATGCACACTGTCTACATGGATATTAAACTATCAGTTTAGAACTAAATATTGCAATGTGCTTTGAGCAGGGTTGCCTTTCAGTTGGTCTGGAAGCTGCAGTTGGTACAGAATACTATAGCTAGACTGTTGAAGGGAGCAACCTAATGTAAACATCTTTTAGTTATTCCAAAGTTTGCTACTTAGAGAAATTTAAAATGCTTGCATAAAGATTGAATTGAGTCTGATTTAAGACCTACAGAACTTTTGGAGGTTATTACCGTATTTTCCGGCATTTAAGATGACTTTTTAACACATGAAAATCTTCTCAAAAGTTGGGGGTCATCTTATACGCCGGGTGTTATTCTCCTGTAACCAGGCAGACCAGCCTGAAAGGCTCTGACGAGCCTTAAATGGCTCTGGCGATCCAAGCTCTGACAATCCCAGCTGAGTTGCCTGCTAATCAGGCAACTTAGCTTGGATCGCCAGAGCCATGTAAAAGAAAAAAAGTTTTCCCCTTCCAGCTTGCTTACCTTAGCTGCTAGTCACAACGCTTGCCTTGCTTCACTTGCCTGCAATCCATTCCATCAGCAAGCAACTCGCTGCCTGCAATCAAGCAGGCAGGGAGTTGTGGACTTCAACTCCCAGAATTCCTCAGCCAGCAAAGCAAAGCTGGCTGAGGAATTCTGGGAGTTGAAGTCTACAAGTCTTAAAGTTGCCAAGGTTGGAGACCCCTGTTCTATTGGGTAAGTTTTTTCCCCTTTGGGAACTTTAAAAAAAACAGTTAATTGGGGTTTTTTTAGTTGTTCTTTTTTAGACCTAGCCATTTAAAGTTTAGGAAGTTTTAAATTTAGCTTTCATATAAAAATAAAAATAAAATAAAATAATATTTGTGCAACTTTCTGAGATTTAGTGTGTTTCTGTAGTGTTTCACTCTTAACTACACAAACACACAAAATCTCACAAAGCTGTATGTGGAATTTTGTGTGTGTAAAGTGTGAAAGTTGGGTTTTTGGGCTTTTTGTGGCTGTGTGAGGTTCCTGCTTGTTGCAGGGGCCATTTTGGGTCTAGCACAGCTGCTTCTACATTGTGGGTGAGCCAGTTGATGCTTTTAAATTTTTATTTGGTGTGCGTTGGAAGAGGGGTAGTCTTATATGGCGAGTATAGCCCAAACCCTATGTTTTAACAGGAAAAGTCAGGGGTCGTCTTATACGCCAAGTCGTCTTATACGCCGGAAAATACAGTACTTGCAAGCTAGCCTATTCCTTCCAAGGAAGGATACTGTTTTGACAGCGCATTTGCTAGAATGTATATTGGTGTTCTTAATGCAGATGTTTTGGCCATGGAATTACCAGTTCAGTTATTGTTGGTATCAGGCCTTGTAAACTTTTGGTTGCCAGCTGAAACCTTCTTTTGTTCACCCAGGCTCTTTTAATTGAATCAATGCTGTGATATTTCTTGTATTCTTGTTATCCTATTTTCTCCTATTCCAATATTTTATGTTTGAGCCATATTTTACATTCCCACTTGATGTTTATTGCAGTTATCATGCCAGCTGGAAACTGATGTAGATAAAATGAACTAAATCATAAAATGAACTGCATGATTTCAATATATAGGGGCAATTGCCCCCTTTCTGCTTAAAGTCTTGAAACTATACAGTAGCTTGAGCAAGATAGTATAGATTGGAAAACAATTCTTCTTCCAACTAAAGGGGGGGGGGTTTAAAACAAAAATCTGGAGAAAAATGGGGCTGGGGAAGGGAATTTTGCAAATAATAAGACAGGAAGAATTGAAACCTCCAAACTAACATACAGTGGTCATCACTATATTTCTCTCTGAGAATAAATAAATCTGCATGCTATATATTTAACATTAATCCTTAGTTGATTATCTCAGTTGATGCCAATTTATAACTTTTAGTTGTCTCCCAGTTGGTCTTATTCTGTGGTTCAAACAGCAGTTCCAGTTTTTCAAGATACCATCTGCCTTAAATCTAAATAAGCACATTGATCTAGTTTTGCTTTTTATTATGTCATGAAAATCATATCTGAATGTAGGCCCCCCAATCCACATTGATTTAAGGGCAGCATATCAAATGTGGAAACTAATTCCAACTGAGTTCACATCATTATGAATAACATATAGATGATGAAAATGTTTATTTTTCCTCTAGGCACTTAGATTTCTTTGAGATGGTTCGAAATGAAGATGACTTGGAACTTGCAAAGAGGTTTGAAATGGTGGGTGTTTTTGCTTTTTCTGCTAAGAAAGTTTGCCTTAGCTACTACTATAAATATACCAGATTTTTCTGCGGGACAAAGGCACCGTTTTCATATAACTGAAGAAAAATGAGACATTTTCTTTCTTATATATACAGAACAAAAAGTATAACAAGGTTTATTTTTTTTAAAAAAAAAGTTATCTGGTCATTAAGTTAATTCAGATCTTGTCAGGTCCCCCTCATTTAACTGGACTATTATGGCAGTGATGGTTTAAGATGCCGCAATTCGATTTTTGTTCATTGAGTTTTAGGAATATTTGTTGGTTATCAATAGTTCGCTGGTCCAGATTGCTTAATATGCCTTGCTCACTTAGGGAATAAAAGACACTGAATGACCCCAGAGTTCTTTTCCAATACAGTTTTCTTTATGTCTATTTTAGATTTGCCATCTTTATTATTCTGAAGTTCTGTATCTGTCTTTGCTCTTAGGCTTTGACCACCTAAAATGGCCTTTTGTGGGATAAAATGTGTCCCTACAATTTGGGTGTTTGTACATTTGCTGTTCCAATTCCACACAGCTTTAACTTGATACCCCCTAAGTTCTGTCCACTTTTAAGGGGCTTTAGATCCAGTGCTGGATTCAGCACCATGAATCTTAGGAACTCAGTGGACAGCTCCTCACTTCTCTTTGAAGCAAGCACCTGCTGCAGCTTAGCACTTTAGTCCTCAATGGAGACCCCCCACTTTTTTTATTTGAAGCCTAGAAGATCTAAACAAGTACTCAGTATATCAAAGCCATGCTACATTGCACTACACTGGAATTATTCACATGATTGCACTTACTGCTTCTTTTCTAAAAAGGCTAGAACATGTTCTAATGTTATGAATTTGTCCCCATAATTGCTACGGTAGTTCCCATCTACTGTAGTGTTAGTAGACAGACAGTGTAGACCAGGAGTGTCAAACTCACATCATGGTGACATCATGTGATGTATCGGGACTTTTTTCCCCTTCGCTAAACAGGGCATGGGAATGCCCAGCGTGTGACGCATCTGGCTCGCAGGCCGGGAATTTGACAGCCCTGATGTATACATAAACAACAGTCAGTGTCAGATGTAAGTCCAATAAAATGTTGATGCATAAAAATAAGGATAGGTTTTCAAATAACGGTAATAGAGTAGAATATAGAAGTTACCAAATTTTTTGTCAGGCAAGATAAAAAGATAAGTATGCTCTATAATATGAAAGTGTTCTATAATAGATTTTTGAGCAGAGCAACATGAATGTCATCTATTCTGAAGAAATGAAAAAAGAAAACCACTAATGTGCTACAGTATTTTTTTTTTCAGAAGCCTACCTAATTTTACATGTTTCTTATTCTAAGCACAATAGATTCAATTATTGGTTTTAACGTTGTCTTCTTTTTTAATATACGGTAGCTATTTTCCCTATCAATTGTTTAGTTTTTAATAGCAAAAGTAACATATGCATTCTTAATATTAGCAACTGGAAAAATTTGTTAACCAGGGAGTAATACTGGAGTAGATTGAATCTATTTTGTCCACAACACTGGGCACACCACACAACTTTTTGTTTGGAAAATATATTTCCAGAAATCATCAAACCGCCTGTATTCCAGAAGTAAATGAAAATTTCCATAATTTGCTAAATCATTCCATCCTGATGCATTTTGTGCATCCCTTCTTAATGTATGTTATTGGCTTGTTTTAGATTAGGTAACTCTGACCATAACAAAAATAAAGATAAATTGTGACATCTTGAAATAATTACCTATAATGTAGTAAGATACTTTCTTTTCTTTCTGGGAATAACCTGGTAGATGTCAATGGATCCACCATTAAATAGGCATCCCGGTGTCGAGTAGCATTCTAATTGGCATGGGTCTTGTAATAGATACCTTCTCCAATAGCCGGACTGAGTTTCAGAAGTGTCACAAATTATTATTTTCTTTTTAAAATGTGGCATTTTATTTTCATATACAGACATCGCATAATGCAGCAAATGCAAGGCATAAGCAAGAAATTGGGTTTCAGTTTCTTGATGAGCATAGATGTTGACAGTTGTTTTTCACAAACTAATATAATATCACCTTATTCTGCTCACCTTTTTACACTCTGAAATTTATGTGTTTGATGATTTGGCTACTTGGTTTAAAATATGCCTCATGATGATGTTTTTATTATAATTTTTGTTTGCCTTTCTCTGTATTCTGTTGTAGGTACATATTGACACAAAAAGCGCCTCACAGATGTTTGAGCTGATCAAGAAGAAATTGAAGCACACAGATGCTTACCCCTATTTACTGTCTGTACTCCAGCACTGCTTACAAATGCCTTGTAAGTAGATCATTTCTTCTCACAATCAAAGGGAAAGTGCTGTGATATGTAAGAAGAAAGTTAGTCGGTAAAGTTAATGATCTAAGAGAGTGGTGCCAAAAATATACCCCCTTCAAATTTCATGGATTATTACCACATTTTTACCATATTACCATTAGCCAGTCTGGTCTAGTGGTTAAGGCACTAGGCTAGAAAGCAGGAGACCATGAGTTCAAGTCCCACTTTAGCTATGCAAGCCGGCTGGGTAATTTTGGGCCTGTCAGCCCAAGCCACCTCACAGGGTTATTGTTGTGGGGAAAATAGGAGGCGGAAGGTGTGTTGGATATGTTTGCTGTCTTGAGTTATTGGTAAAAATAATAAACTTGGGATACAAACAAATAAATTTTTTAGTGTTTTGGTATGGACTGTAATATCACATCATTGTGGTATTACAACATAGAGCATTACAATATTGCAACAAAGCTTAACGTCATCTTACTGGAGCAAAATGAACATTGATCTTTTTTTCTTCACCTACCAGCTGTCGAGTTCCTTGTAGTAGGAATGTTTTTCAGCTTTGTTCGAATCCTAAAATGAAGCTGATCTGGACAGATTCAAGGGATATTCCCATGTAGAAGAGTTCCTCAGAAGCTGCAAAACCTGAAGCTTTATTAAATTTCTTTACAGATTTGGATATTGGTTAAGACCAAAAAAAAACCCAAAAAACAAAAAAACAGGCAGTATCTTCTTTAGTTCTCCCTATAAAAATGGGAGAAGAGTTGTAAAGCTACATGGGGTGGAGAGTTAGATGGGAAGAGATAGTAGGGGTATATTCTTAGTAAGGTTCTCCCATTACAGTGTGTTGGAGATAGGAAGGTAAATTAATATTTTCTGAAACTACTCTGCTATTCACTGCTGTGTATTAGTTTTTTATCCACAAAGCAGGAAAGATAAAGGTGGTGGTAGAATTTGTGAGCCTTGCAAGAACCATATGTCATTTAAATAGAGATAACATAACAAGGGGAAAATCAACATTCCCATAGTCTGCTCAGAATGGAACAGTCAAGAGCATTTTTCAGACCTGGGAAAATAGACCAACTTATTAAAATATTGGTGGAGCATACTCCTTCAATCAAATAATCTTGTCTTTTGCATTTCATTTTCCTGATCACTAGGGCAAGATACATGGCATCCTGATATCTCGTTGTTACCAAAGCAATCTTAGCAGGTGCTTTGGCATGCATCCTGTGATATGTGATAGCAAAACACTTACACATTTAATCATAATCAAAGATTTTATAATAAACCAGTACATCCTCTCTTTAGTGTGCAGTAGCTGTGCATGGTAGTATAATATGATTTCCCCTTCTGGTTCTCCAACTAGAACCACTTAATTAGAGGTCCAGAAGAAAATGGCTCAGATACAAATTGATTAGTGGCTGCAAAATAGATCCTAGTACTACTTTTCCAAGAAAGGAAAGGAAGATACGACCTTTTATTCTTTTGCAAAGTTGGAAACTAATTCATTAGACAATTTTGATCTTCTGGGAAACTGATTACTCATACATTCTGACCATGCAGTATGGATTATCTCTCAGACTCACCATTTCCATACAACTAAAAGGAAGGTAGAGATAGATTAGCTCACTACAGAATTTTTGCCTGTAGACAGCTGGCTTTCCCAGAGCACGTTTTCCTGTTCCCACTTAAGATCTCCCCCCAAAAAACATGAAGCAGCCATTTCTTGCTTAACAAGCAATAAAAGGAGAAATGTTGGATGAAGTCCATCTGGAAACGAAGTTCAACTTGATTAAATTATTAGATTTTTTTTTCTTTTTTAAAGGAACAAGAAAGAACGTTTGTGTTAAGAGTCGGAGATATGCAGGTTCCACTCTTAATTAACACAGAATTTTGATGAAAAACAAAACACTGGCCAGATGAACACTCTTGTTATACTATGGGAAATTCACAGAAAATACTTCATTCCCATCTTACTTCATGGGAACTGATAAATAAGAAGTTCTCAAGCCCTAATTGGAAAAGCAAATTAGCGATTTCTCTGAAGTATATCGTAAAAATTTGGGAATATTACATTTATTTAATAGTCTAGCAACAACTAAATAGAATTTGTTTTCATTTGGAATTAGCCACTCAAATTTAATCGGAGGTGCTGAGAGCAAATATACAGTTACTGAACTTTTGCAGCCCACTTTAAAATTTGGGCTTGACATGTTCAACACATTAATGCAGTGTGGAACGGTTCATACTGGGTCTATTGGCTGCACTTTTTTGCCTCATGTTTGTGTGTCTGAAGGCCGAACAGTTATATCAGGGGGGTCAAACTCACGGTGTCACGTCGTCACATGACGTATCATGATGCTTTTTCCCTTCATGGAGCTAGGGTGTGTGTTGCCTGCACATGACACATCTGGCCCATGGACCATCAGTTTGACAACCCTGAGTTACATATAGAGGTAGTCCTTGACTTACGTTCACAACTGAGCTCAAAATTTCTGTTGATAAGGGAGAGAGTTGTTCAGGGAATGTTGCCCCATGTTATGACCTTTCTTGCCACAGTTGTTAAGTGAATCAGTGCAGTTGTTAAAGTAACACGGTTGTTAAGTGTATCTGGCGTCCCCATTGGCTTTGCTTGTCAGAAGGTCACAAGAGGCGATCACATGACCCCGGGACACTGCAATAGTCATAAATATAAGTCAGCTGCCAAGCATCTGAATTTTGACCATGGAGATGCTGCAACATGAAAAACGGTCAGAATGGCATTTTTTTTCAGTGGCATTGTAACTTTGAACAGTCACTAAATGAACTGTTGTAAATCAAGGACTGCCTGTACTATAAGATATATGTCAGAAATAAGGAATCTGGTGCCACATTTCATGCTTTGAACTTCAGCTCCTGTCCCTCTAAACTAGAATAATCAATGGCATGAGATTATGAATTAAAAAGATAAACTTCTAGAAGGAATCAAAACATCTTCTCTAATTTACTATGGTATAAATCTCTTCAGCTTGTTTTCAACCTGAAATTGAAAATGAATAATACTATTGGCAAGCAGAAGCTGCATATATAACAGCATCTATGTGGTTTCATTAAAATGTTGGGCAAGAACTAAAGTGTTCCCCAAAATTATTGTGGTTTTGTGTGTGTGTGTGAAGGAGGGAGGGAGGGAGAGGGAAATATGTTAGCTTTGCCAGAGTTTACTTGAAGGTAGTTTGGATGGTTATAAAAAATTGCTTTGAGTGAAAAACAGTAACTTGAAGAAATTTTTTTTTAAATCTTATTTGGTCATTGCAGGACTATTTCAAATATTCAGGCTTATGATCCATAATCCTCAGGTCAAGAACTGAAGTGTACAATAGTTTATTTTTAATTTTAAAAAGGACTTACCTAAGAGGAAGTACTTAGCAGGCTCTGTTTTTCATTTCAGAGGTTCTTTCCTTTTTTTCAATTAAATTTACTGGGTAAGTAAAAGCCCATTTTCCATAAAGTGGAAGTTATTGGCCACATATAGGTATTCATGCTTTGGGATAACTTGAATATCTTTCTACAAATTTTTCTTTGGAAGTCATAAAAAAAACATAGGAGGTGGGTAATAGAAATTCATTTATTTTTAAGCATTATTCATTTTTTATTTCACATTTTCTCTGGGAAACCAGGTTTTCCTGTCATTATAATCAAGTGAGAACTAATCCCAAGCAAAGGAAAACTGAAGTAAATTTGTAAGCACAGTTGCAGTTTTACTTAGCAACTACTTTATTCAATGACGGAGTTGCTGGTCCCAATTGTAGTCACTAGATGAGGATTACTTGTAAATATATTTTTCACATGTGCTCATTTATAATATTCAAAGAAATTGCTTTCAGGGCCTTGTGATTAGATCTCTAAGTTTCCTTACTGGTGTTTGTGATTGCAGATAAAAGAAATGGGGGAACTTTTCAACAATGGCAGCTTTTAGACAGGATACTGCAGCAAATTGTTCTTCAGGATGAACGAGGGAATGATCCAGATGTATCTACTTTGGAAAACTTCAATGTCAAGAACATCATTAAGATGTAAGAAGCATGAAAACTGGGACTGGATTTTATTCACGCAATATGTTTAAGATAAGGGCCCCTTCATATATAAGGTTTCATCTATGTAGAAATAAAATTAGTCAAAATAATGTCTATGTTTTTGCCCAGTAAAATTTGCATTAAACTATATTATAACATTTTGCAATAGAGAGTTAATTTTAGCTAAAAGGCTAACAGCAATAACAAGAAATGAGCTTAGAAATGAGCTTATTATGCTATTGGTTCTTAATATGTTCCTATTCTTCTAAGAATATTTCTATTTAATTTTTTGGGGAATGGGCTTTAAATAATCTGACCTTATCTTCATTCAGGTTGGTAAATGAAAATGAAGTGAAACAATGGAGAGATCAAGCAGAGAAATTCCGGAAAGGTATGTGGTTATTTCAGAGTTGGGGAAAAAATGGAATTTAGACATGCAACTTCAGATAATCTAGAAAAGAACAAAGCTCAGGGAATGTGTTTTCTTGTATTATTAGTTTACCGATGCTAAAGAGCAGCTGACAATGCCTTTTAACATTAGACTGATCTCCCTATTTTGAGTGCCACTCTCATTAAAAAAAAAACCCATGCTGACTTTCAGTCTAAAGGGTTTTTTTTTATACATCTAGAGTAATCCACATCAATATTTTAATGAAACTCTCTTCTCCCCCAGCCACTTTACAGTTTAGGTTCTCTGGATTTATTATATATTTTGGTTGCTTGCAATTACTTAGTTTTCCCTCTACTGTTTGTAGAACATGTTGAATTGATGAGCAGGTTAGAGAAGAAAGAAAGAGAATGTGACATAAAAACCCAAGAGAAAGATGAAATGATGAAGACACTGAATAAAATGAAGGACAAGCTGCAAAGAGAATCCCTGGAGCTTCGCCAAACTCGGGATCAAATGAGTGACCTTATTGTTCAGCTGAATGAATTTTCGGTAGGATACGGGCCCCTTTTCTTCTTTTTCCCTAATTTACTTAAACAGAAATATAAGATTTGAAGTTTTCTGTGGAGAAGACAACATGTACGGCAACTTATATTGCCAGTGTTTTTAATTCATTCTTGGTCATTGCTTCCGTTTTGTTTTGTTTAGGTTGGGTTTGTTTTCCGAGGTCAGTAAAATGAGGACCCAGATTGTTGGGGACAATATGCTCACTCTGTAAACCGCTTAGAGAGGCTATAAAGCACCGTGAAACAGTATATAAGTCTAAGTGCTATTGCTAATTAGTCAAAATATTCCTCATAGAAGCCCTGCAGTTTATCCAGGTTTCCATACCTACCTGGCAGGGACTGGATGACCCTTAAAAGGGAAATTTTTTAAATATTGACATTTTGTCACCCTTACCAAAATGAAGTAATCACTAATATGATTCTTACAATGTTTGGGGAGGGGTGTTATATTTCTGGTAATGCAATAAAAACTAGTATCTTTTTACTGATTGCTCTCAAATATTACTTCTTTTTCCAGCAAGGGAATAGTACATTCCCAATTTCTCCTCAACTACCACCTGGTGGACCATTTTCTTTGTCCTCTTCTCTACGATCATCAGAGATTTTGCCACCGCCTCCCCCACCTCTTCCTTTCTCTAGCTGTCCTCCTCCTCCAGCTCCGCCACCACCTCCAGGTGGGCCTCCACCCCCACCTGGAGCACCTCCATTCTTCAATGTCAGTCTGCCTCCCATTTCTTCCACCACCGCCACCACCACGTTCAGCAACAGTGAGATTAGCCTAAAGAAAAAATCAATCCCGCAGCCATCTCATCCACTGAAATCCTTCAACTGGGCCAAATTGAGTGAGGTAAGGTTCAAAAATGCTATTTTCCTTTAGCTTGCTATTGATTGAAATGTTTGAGAAGATTGGAATGTTGAAGATTGTGCTAAGGTAGATATGCCATAAGAACCCAATTTTAGGTGCAAAACTGATACTCATTTAAAATTATATGATTATAGACATAAAATTATGTGATACACACACAGATATATCGCTGACAGATAGCTAAGATGGCAGGCATTGAAAAATCCTATCAACTGAAGTACACGCACTAAGCAACAGATCCATAGAAACGGGGGTCTACCATACTAAACAGAACCCAAGGTACAGACTATGCAGAGAGACCTCAGAAAAGTCCAAAGCATAGTGGCAGAGTGTAAAAATTCAGGCAGGAACATTATATACTGAACAGCACAACCAAGTAGCTGGCATTCTGTAGAGCAGTGTTGGTGAACCTATGGCACGTGTGCCAGAAGTGGCACGCAGAGCCATGTTGCCTGGCACGCGTGGCGTCGCCCATTCCTCTTCCGGGTTTCCAGGGTACGCATGCGCACCAGCCAGCTAGTCTGCGGGTTACTGGTGCGCATGCGTGCATGACAATCAGCTGGCCTTTAATGCGGGTGCGCACCGGCCATGCCATCGTTGCCCGCATACAGCCCCAGGATCACCCCTTGCCAGCCAGGAGCACTGCCACCAGTCACTCCCCTATGCCCGGCTGCCTGCTTGCCTCATCATGCCATCGCCACTGCGAGGAAAGGCCCTGCAGCTGCGCTGCCTGGATTCCACATGGGCTGGCGCAGGGGGAGGACAGATATGGCTGCCTGGATGCTGCCTGGAGCGCGAGGGTGGCAGGAGGAGGAGCCGCTGCTGCCTTATAGCCAGCGCGACCAGCCTGCTGCTGCAGCCTGCCACCACCCTCTCTCCCCCGCCAACTGCTCCTGCCATCGCTGGGGAAGGGGAGCGCAAGAACCACTGCCGCCGGGTGCAAGCGGGTGGTGGGAAGGATCTGCGATCTGCGGCTTCCCTGTCTCCGCACCCAAGCAGGCTGTCCAGGGAAAGGGATTGAAGCCCCAGCCCGCTGCTTCTGGCGCTGGCACCCCCTCATCCCCGGCAACAGCGGTTCTTGTGCTGCCAGAAGCAGCAATTGGGGCTTCAATCCCTGCCCCTGGACAGGTCTGGAGCTCGGCTGGGGAGAAGGGAAGCCCCAAAGCAGATCTTTCCCCCACCCCTTTGTACCCAGCGGAGCCGGTTCTTGCGCTTCAATGCCTGCTCCCAAAAGCCCAAAACAAGTTGCGGTGGGGAGGCATGAAGCGCATGTGGGGGACTGCGCATGCGCAATGCAGAACGTATGCATGGGGGAGTGTGCGCAATGTGGGGTGCATGCATGGGGTGTCACGTGTGTATGCGCATGCGTGGGGGTTCGCATTGCAATATGGGTGCTGGCATGCACGGGCTTTATCGCGCGCACACACACACACACTTCCGGCACGCAACAAGAAAAAAGTTCGCCATCACTGGTGTAGAGGAACATCTGCAAAGTCTATGGGCTAGACTGTCCCAAGTCCAGATGGGGAGATTATGGAGAATAACAGGGCTAAGATCCTGTGGGACGTCTAGAACCAGATGGACAGGCAAGTACTGGTTACGATAAATTAGCAATGCCAAGTGCAGTGCCATTAGGAAGGAGGAGTATGGAGGAGTACCACGGTCTAAAGGAGGAACTAGAGGGGATATGGAAAGTAAAGAGCAAAGTGGTCCCAGTGATGATAGGAACACTCAGGACTGTGATTCCTAAACTGGGAGAGTGGCTCCAATAGATCCCAGGAACAACATCAGAGCTCTCTGTTCAATAGATGCTGCATAGAGCTAAGATACTCCGCAGAACCCTCAGACTCTCAAAGCTCTGATAGGGGACCCGAGATTGAGGAAGATACATATCACCCATAAGGGTGAGAAGGGAATTTTTATACACACAGACCCAGTGGTGAAATCCAATTTTTTTTTTACTACCGGTTCTGTGGGCATGGCTTGGTGGGCGTGGTGTGGCTTGGTGGGCGTGGCTTGGTGGTCATGGCAGGGGAAGGATACTGCAAAATCTCCATTCCCACCCTACTCCAGGGGAAGGATATGGCAAAATCCCCATTCCCTCCCCATTCATGGAGAAAGGATATTGCAAAATCTCCATTCCCACCCCACTCTGGGGCCAGCCAGGGGTGGCATTTGCTGGTTCTCCAAACTACTCAAAATTTCCGCCACTGGTTCTCCAGAACTTGTCAGAATCCTGCTGGATTTCACCCCTGCACAGGCCCACACATCATCTTAAGATATATTTTGAAAGTAAGGCCTATTAGTTTTGAAATGGGCAGAATTTTGTAATTAAATTTAATTACAAAACTCAACCACAAAGCTTCTAATACTGCAGTTTTGTAACTTAAACATTTTAGCCGAGAGAGAACACATTGACATTTCAAAATACATTCTTCCGTCAACCCTATTTAAATGTTCCTTCCTCCCCCATGTCAAACTCTAGCAAAAACATTCTTTCCACATTGCATGTGGAAGTGTTAACATTTAAAATTTTATCATGTGTTTATCCAAACACATGCAAATGCCGTGGTATTTATATATAGCCACGGTCTGCTGGAGCTCTTGTGCAGCGTGTTTTCAAGCAAGCCTCTTTGGAAGGAAGCTTTTAACTTTGCAGTTTCCACCAAAATGGATGGAGTGTTTGTGTTGGTGGGTAGGATTGGTGGCAGTGAAATGCGGGCGGAAAAATTTGAGACAGCCCTGAGGCTAGAACGTTTACAGAGACTGAATGACATGCAATGCTCTGAACAACTCATTCATTGCGTAACCATGTATGAGTATAATCCCCCTCTTCTAGTTACAAATCAATGTAGCTCTTCCTTCTAAAGGAGTACTCGGCCTACCTTTTTTGTGTGGCACACTTGTTTTCATCCAACTCTGCAACTGCCCCCACCTCCTAATTTCCGTCACCCCTATTACTCTTTGGCCATTAAAAAAATGGAGCTAGAATACTGTCTGTGTTGAATTTGGGTAGCTGCCTAGAAATCCATGTTCTTTTTAGGACTCCCAAGTCACTGAGGGCTCAGCTCAGGCATGTGGAATCAGTGTCCTGGGACCTTTGGAATGCCACAAGAATGTGCGCTCTCTCTTCTCGCTTACTCTCCTTTTCTTTTCAAATATGATGAAGTGAAATATTTGCTGCTCCTCCTGTTCTTGTCTTTCACAGCCACGTGGGGCTATGGGAGACCATGAGAGTAAGTTTTATTTTCAGGAATTGGTACTGGGGGATGGGAGGGGAAGACAGTTATATTCACATACACACTGCATGAGAGAGACAGATGTTTCTTTTTAGTTTACAGTGACCAAAAGCTTCTCCTTCCCTCTGGTTAACAGTGGAGACAGCTGTATTGATAAATAGGGGTTAGAGAATGAATAAATAAGCAGTTTTGGAGCATGCAGTTATAGTTTGAATTTGGAGTGGAATGATTTGATTGCGTTTGCCCTAATTTACAAGGTATGTAGTAGCTATCAAAACTAGGGTGGAACTTCAGTAATAGTATTTAATATTTAGGGAATTTAGTATTTTTCATATGGCTTATACTGATTTATATCAGTGCATTGCAGGTGCCTCCCAGGTGGCAAAATGAGGGCAAAATTACATTGGCTTGCAAGATAGTATCTACACTGGAAATCTTTTCTTATTGTATATGAAATAATAGGTGGATTACCAGAATTTATCAAAACTATATTATCAAAATTTAAAATTGATCTTGTTTCCCTTGAATAATATTCCATGCGTATACAGAGTTAACATAGAAACAGCAAGCTGAGATTCTACTTGATTTGTAAACTTTCTTTTTGTGGAAGGTAATGGATGAACTTTCAGTCATACGGTCCCTCACACTATAAACTGGTACCACATAATTTATAGTACAGCATTTTTTTTTTACAAAAACGTTGAAAGTATGTCCACTTTTTTCCAGGGCTGTATACATTTCAGTGGCTCTATAAATGAATGAATGAGTGACACAGATACATATATAGTTGTCAAGTTACAACCACACATTCAGTGATTGTTGAAACTTGTGAAGGTCTGACTGCTACAATGTCCCTGTTTTTGGTGTCTAGCTTACAATTATGCTGTCACAGCAAGCTGCAGGCGTGTTCTTGTGATTTCCAGTGTTCCCTGCTAGCTTCCCACAAGCAAAATCAATTGGGAAGCCATCAGGAAGTCAGATGCCATCATCATGCGAGGTTGAAGCATGAGGACTTCTGAACTGTTATTGCTAAGTGATGCAGTCATATGACTTCATACTTTACAAGTGCATCTTTTAGCAATGGACATTCTGGTCCCAATTTGCTTTCATAACCCAAGGGCTACATACATATGTATATATAGATATACAGTTGTAGGTCTTTGGTTATTCGGGTCTTCTCCCACGTAAAATTGGAAGTGTCTTGGCGACGTTTCGACGAAGTCTCATTCGTCATCTTCGTGCTTCCAGAAGCCGAGAACACCAGCCTGAAGATGACGAATGAGACTTCGCCGAAACGTCGCCAAGACACTTCCAATTTTACGTGGGAGAAGACCTGAATAACCAAAGACCTACATACAAACACCCGCGAAAACCTGAGAAAACAAAGATATACAGTTATATATATATGCTCAATCACACATTCTAAACATTTCTATGTTCTTATCTTACAATTTATATTCTATAACTATTATAGCTATGCCTATTTCTTGTATGTTTCTTATATCAATGTCTATCATTTTATTTCCTTCCTCTCCTACACCTAATGTAGGGAGCTAATGACCCCAGCTTAGTTTATTCCTATCCTTTGCTGCCTTCCCACTTACAATGTGTAAAAACAAACATCGTTTTCTTCTCAGCCTGACTTCTGGCTATCTTTTAGCCATCCAAGATGTGGTTGATGGTTGGTGTTTTTCAGGCTCTTCAGCCAGGCATCTGTTGCCTCTGGCCTAAATTGCTGCAGAGACTTTGGCATCTCTCTCTTTCTGAGTCAGAAGGAGAAAGTTTGCTATCACTGCTGTGAACTATTGTCACTATTACAGAGGTTGGCATGTTTGCCTGACTCTGCAGCTGCTCTTACCTCTTGGCCCTATTGCTGCTCACAGTTTCCTGCTACTCATGCTTCTGAAACGGATCCCATTTCTTTGGCCCCTTCAGTCACCCTTTGCAGATAACTCCAGGCCTCCGGCCAGTTTTCTCCTGAGCTTCTCCCGTTGCTCAGCTCATTCCACAACTCCTGCTTGTAATAATGTCCCCACTCCCTCTCCAACGCACATGGACAGAACATCTCTTCCTGACACATCCACAAATCTCTCTCTCTCTCTCTTTTTTTTTTAATTGATGGAGATATGGTTTGGCCAATTCAGCTGTAAGTTCCAAAGAAAAAAAGGAAAAAAAGTAATGTGCTTGGACAGACTCCTACCACAGTCTATGGAGGGGAAAAAAAATGACATCAGAATGAACTGAAGAATAAAAAAAGGGGAATATAACCAGTGTGTCTTAATGGGAAAATTTCCAGAGGTTTAATTTTCGATACCTGCTGTTTTCATGTGATAGATTTAGTGAGCTTTATGGGACTTCATTGGGCTTCATTTTTAAGCAGTCAATTCTGGACTATATTTTTGATTGTAGTTGTCTCCACCAGTGTCTTCCCCTGCTGCTCATAAAGATGTGCAGAGTAAAATATGTCCCAGGGTCATTTTCCATATTCTGGTTTTAGGTCTCATTCAGAATTATAAACTAGACAGACCAGAGCACTCTTAACAGCTCTGAGTGAATTTAACAGAGACAAAGCAGAAAACTTTTCAGTTCTCAATGGAAACTTGCTTTGTAATATAAGCCATCCTTATAAGCCAAAAAGTGACTTCTGGAGAGTCCAAAGGCATGGCTGTTTTGCTTTTGTCTTTATTTTTTTGGCCCGGATTTTCTTCAAAAGTTGTGTCTTCTTTTAATTATGTTCTATCCATTGAGTTCTTCCTGACCCCTTTTAGTTTCTCAAAATAATGCATTTTTCTCTTGTTTCTTTAATAAGAGTGAGTGGGAGATAGAAGCTGTTCTTAATTAGTTTAATAATGAAGTGCTAATGCACTTTACTATGTGAGTTCCTTTTGTGAACTTCAGTTCAGGAGCTAGGAGTGTCCTATTTTTAGCTGTCTGGACTCAAGATACCACATGCTGGGCAGCTTTCCTCCTCCTCCTCCTCCTCCTCCTCCTCCTCCTCCTCCTCCTCCTCCTCCTCCTCCTCTGCTTTTTCTTTCTTAAATATAATTTCTTTAATTTTCTGAAATTTCTAGGGGGTTTTTGCAATAAAAATTGTTTTTAGAGTAAAATGTATTTTACCCAAAACATCTCAGATATAAAAGAAAAAAACAAGGGAAGCAATGCTCTTAAGTATTACTTTTAATAGTATTTCACCTTTGTGTGCATTTGGGAGTTGAAAATGGAACAATGATAGATATATGAACATTATGATTCACTAGAATGTTGTAAGGCTAGACACAATTATATACATCTCTTTGAATTTTAGGAAAAGATACATGGTACAATCTGGCATGAAATTGATGACATACGGGCTTTCAAGATGCTGGATTTGGAAGATTTTGAAAAAATGTTTTCAGCCTATCAAAGACATCAGGTAAGACATTCAATGCTATTTCCCTTGTTCCAGATTCTGAATTCTCTATGTTCCTCTATAAAAATGGTTTCAGTATTTGGTGCACCAAAAGAGAAGCGAACAGTAGGAAATGTCTTTTCATGGATATGGTATTTTCAGGATAAACAGATTGGCTCCAGGTTTGAGTATGCCAGGTAAATAGCCTTCTGGATGGCGCCCTCTTTTATTGGTGGACCCTTAACTTACCTAGTGCTGATGACTGGAAATGGGGTGCCACAGCGCTAAGCTCTGTTTCCTGCATATAGTATCATTCTGAGCATCATTCTGAGACACTGAGACATCAAATGGTGGCTTGACCAAGATAAATAGTGCTGATGAGAAGGTTGATTAGTAAGTAGACAGGTTTAATGTAGTTTCAAGAAGTGCCTCAATTTTAACAGTTTTTGATACTGGTCTTGGAGGTAAACTATGTTATTATTACTTTACATTTTGTTTGCCATAATGTCTGCCTTTAGTGGAAAAATATAGTACTTGGCATCACCAATCTGATTTGTGGTTGCAGTTGTTATATGATGGGTAATGGTGTTTAGTGTAGTTTGGCGTTGGCTTGCTTTGATTTGGTCTAGTCTGGTCTGGTCTAGTCTAGTAATTCAAATTTATTAGCCACCCAACTCGAATGGAATCTTTTTAGTTGTTTTTCACTTGTCTTGTTAATACTGTTAATTCCATTTCCCCCCCTCATTTTGTAATACAGTTTCTTCTTAGCTAATAAATCTTGCATAATAAATTTAGATTGGCTCAGCTTTGTGTTTGGCTTACTTCATTTTCTTTACTTTTCTTTCTTATACTTATATTTTACTTTCATTTTCTCATAATAGATTATAATGGATATTTAATGCTAACAGTAGTGACATACTTTTAATAGCAGCTGTACAGGAGTGTTTTTTTTTTCTTGGAAAGTGGATCGCCCTCATGCTGTCTTTCTCTCATAAATGAGACGCAACTGGATAGATCAATGGGATTTTAACTTTTTTCCCCCTTCTTTTCCAAATTCTTTCTTAGCTATTAAATTATATTTTGAAAACATGCTTTCTCCCAGTTGTCTGGTGTACAAATGCTAGTCCAAAGCTGGGCTGGAAGTTCAGCTTTTCTTCTCCAATAATATAAAACAGTGATGCCACACTGTACAGAACTGTTGAAGGACTTTAATAATTTAGTTCAGAAAAACTGACCTGACTCCAGCACCTTTCCCTTTGGAAATGAACCATTTAATTTTCAGGACTCCTAAAAGATTCAGATTCATTTTTATTGGCAAAAAGCACATGAAAATGAGTTGGCCATTTCTGATTCAATGTGTAAAGTTTGGTTCCCATTCAGCGACAAATGTCCTCTAAGCACTTCTTGCCAACCACAAAACTGTAATAACCAAGTTTGGGACAGGCTAAGGCTTTACACCAAATTGAGATTATGTTCCTGATATGTTCCCATCTGATTAAGCAAAGTTTAGAGATTTATATAGTTAATTGAGGACTTCCTGTCTTGTCATAAGAAGTGGAATGGAACTGGATCATGATTCTGAAAGTTTTAAGATATGATCAAAATGAGGTTTGCTTGTCTAAACAGATCAGTTCTATTCTGGTCATTCACCGGCTTTAAACTTCATCCAAATGAAGCCAAACTCAGCAAATCCCAGAGAGATTTTTTTTTTTTGGGGGGGGGAGGTTGCATGCATGAGCATGAATGAGACATTTCTTTTTCTTGCTGAAGTTAATATGATATTGTATTTGGTCCCCCAGCTTCTTTTCCTGTAAACGACTTCTTTTTTCTTAGAAAAGACAAAGAGTCTGTTCTTCACTCCATACAAAAGTATTTGCTGTTTGTTATACACTAAGAAGGCAATGTTAAACAGGAATAGAATTTTATTTCAAGGTCTCGCATTGATTCTTTTATGATGTTCAAAAGGCCAGTTTATTATTTTATAACATCACTTACATAATTGCAAAAAGAAAGTACTGAGAAACCTTATTTATGGCCTATAAAATCCTGTTAACTATTGTCTTTAGAATCTCTATGGAAAAGAGATAAATTCTGCACAATTTAGTAATATCTCCTACTTTTGTGTCTATGGAAGGGAGAACAAACTGTGATGCCTTTTGTCGTTGATTATTTTAATAGTGTCATGTTAACGAGCACTTCAGTAGAAGACCAAATATTATTGCTTTGATAAACTCTGTACCTTTTTATTGCTGTTGCTAATTGTTGGCATGTTTCCTTCTCTGTTATCTTCAACTGTTGCCTGAGTAGGACCTGTTAACTAATCCTTCTTCCTCCTGTAAGACGGTGAGTATTACTGCCTGTCCCCTTTCTGACTTTTCTGATTTCTTTTTCAGTATTTAGATCACGAGATCCACCTGAAACTTCATAATCCACATTGTTTATTGCATGAGTAAACCTTATCTTTCATCTGCACATATATAGGTGTTTCTGTGACTAAGACAAAGGATTGTCTTGCATGAATTTTGAGAGACAGAAAATAAAATTCAGTCTGCTTTTGTGTATCCAGTGGTGGGTTTCTACAGGTTCGCGCCCCCCCTCCCCCCCGGTTCAGGCGATCTGGTAGCGGTGGCAGCGGGAGGCTGTGCCCACTGCCCGGACATCTCTGCGCATGCGCAAAAGCTTCTGCTCACACCCGTTAGCACGCGCCCGCGAGCAAACTGGTAGCGACCAAAATTAAAACCCACTACTGATCCAAACCCACATGAGTAAACGAGAGATATCGGAGATGGCGCTGTCAGTTTTGTTTATGAGACAGAAGAATAGGCTTTACTCACCTCCTGCAAATAATCCTGTTATTTATTTATTTTTTAACTAAAGGGGTCCTGAGTTTCAATTGTTAATGGGAGTATCTTTTGAACTGAGTTATGTCATGGATGTCCCATTGAATAGAAGAGAGAGGTGACTTTAATGATTCTTCCTTTTTCAGCTTCTCAATTCTTAGAATATCTGCCCCACTGAAGATCTTCTGGAACAGTATGAAATTTTAGGAATTTGGTTATATTTTTATTTGCTAGCTTCTATGTATTACCCCATGCCAATATGACACTCAGTGACTTGTATTCTTTCTTACAATAAAAAGATTGCAAAAGTAAATCTCAAACATAGTTCAACATGAAAATACCTGATTGATACTAGATCCTTTCTTAGTGTCCTAGTATTCATAGTGATTTTTTTAAAAAACCCAAGCAATAAAGAGGAACTGAAGAAAAAAGGAAGGAAGGAAGGAAGGAAGGAAGGAAGGATGGATGGATGGATGGATGGATGGATGGATGGATGGAAGGAAGGAAAGAAGGAAGGAAGGAAGGAAGGAAGGAAGGAAGGAAGGAAGGAAGGAAAAAAGAAAGAATCTTAACTAGTTTGAAGATTGAAAAACCTCTTGAAAGAAGGCAATATCAAATAATTCTGCATTGTTGCCAAGAAGTCTATAAGGCTGTGTCCTTTGTAGCCACTGGAAATTAATTCAATTTAATGTCCTTCAACTTTTAAGGAGTTGTATTGGAAAGTGAAATCAGCAAACTTGTTTCTCCTTACCTCTCCAGCATCCTTTTCTTAATCTCAATCCTATCTATAAAGTCAAAGGTTATTCCACTTAACTAGGTGCCGATACAATCCCTGTGGTATCTCTTGATAGTATTGTTCCTACTTTTTGAACATATTTTATTTATTTGGATTCAAGTTTATATCACGTGTCATAATGCATGTCCCTGTATGTGAAATGTGTTCTTCATTTAATTATAATTTTCAGGCAACCCCATTTATAGCAAAGGCTAGGGACCTTAGATGCACATATATATGCATGCATGCTTGCACATATACGGTTGCCTGTTGCACTTACATCTCGATTTGCAAGGAAAAACAAATAAGGAAATAAACCATGTTTATACAGTTTCTTATTTTTTAAAAAGTTTTATTTTTATAGTGTTGCAATCCTACAACTTTGGTGGATTTCCTCCCATGCTGATTCCTTTGGATACAATGCATTGCCCACCTAGTGTTCCTTCTCAGTATTGCATTGACTGAAAAATGAAATAATTCCACATTTTTAAAACTATTTGTAGAAGGAAATGGGATCAACTGAAGACTTATACTTATCCAGCCGAAAGGTGAAAGAGCTTTCTGTGATTGATGGCCGGAGAGCACAAAACTGTGTCATCCTCCTTTCCAAGTAAGTTTACCATATTTTGCATTTGTCTGGAATTTCAGTTTGTTGGTATACAGAAAGGATGCGCGTAGAATTCCTATTTGACTGCTTCTATTCCAAGCATTTTAGACCGCAATCTGTCTCTGAAGTGTTCTTGAGGAATGAAAGATGTTTAGGTTTCTCTCCAATGTCAACTTTGATCAATTCTGTCTTTCACATGAATACAAATGCATCATCTTGAGATTTAAACTAATTTGTGATATAAACTCAAACAGGGATTTGAGCATAGCTTGGCAGTTTGTGTGCGTTGAATTTTTAAAATGTAAATATTGATTTATTGGATTTTATATCCTCATTTATCAGACAGCTTCTTAGAAATATTGCTTATATTTTACAATGTATGTTTGTGGCTATTAATAAAAAATATTTTTTTCTGGCAATTTGGTAAATGTTATGCTTTTTTTCTGTTTTATTCATATCAAATGGTTCATTAATTAAAATAATGTTTTTGTGTAATTAATTTTTTTACATAATTGAGTAAGGAATAATTGGAAGTAGCGTAAGAGACCTGGTGGCTCAGCAGACTAAAGCAGACTAAAGCACTATTATTAACATCAGCTGCCTGCAATTACTGCAAGTTCAAATCTCACCAGGCTCAAGGTTGACTCAGCCTTCCATCCTTTCTAAGGTAGGTAAAATGAGGACCCAGATTGTGGGGGCAATAAGCTGACTTTGTATAAATATACAAAAGTATGAAGGCTATTGCTTAACGCATTGTAAGCCGCCCCGAGTCTCCGGAGAAGGGCGGCATATAAATCAAATTAAAAAAAAAAATGCTTCATTTGCTCATGATCGAGGCACTATGCAAAGAAATGGTACATTGACATGTTTGGCATTTGTAAGCAGCTGCGCCTTTGGTGTTTAGCTGAATTGCTTGTCCATTGTCTTTTCTGCTTTTGACAGAAAGTTTGAAGATAGTTATAGTAAATGTATCGTGGGATGAAAAAACCAGTGCTAAATAACTGATACAAATAAGTAACTGATGGAATATTCTCAGCTTGTGTTCATCGTTTTAGGTAGATAGGCATCAAATATTTGACACCAAGGAAAAACATTCAAGTGTGCCTAACACTGCTTTATTTCCTAACATGAGAAGTAATAGGATTAAGAGCTTTTGTATTAAGAACTCAAGTTGCTTTTATGAATGAATACACAAGAATGGTTCTAGACAGAGGCATGACCACTTATGGACAAAGCGTCGGTTGTTCCACCTTTTTCTTCTTAACAATTTTTAATGAAAATTAAAAAAAAGATGGAAGGAAGAAGACGACCATAATCACCTTCTATCATTCATAGACTTTAATACCATATAGTTCTTCGTTTAAGTCCATGACTGTGGCAGTATGATTATCTAATAAAATTCTTGTTTCCATGCATCTTAACTTCAAAATATTTTTAATAAAAATTAGAAGGAATGTTTAAATGTTCTTTGAAAAGAACCATATCTGTTAATATACATACAACTTTATGGAAAGCAACTTTTACAAGCAGCATTGTACAAAATAATAAGCTTTCAGCATCTCCATGTTCTGTTTTATACATTATTTTTGTTCTTTAAACTTTCCATCTGTCTTTCAGGATCTCCATCCAACCACAGTATTTGTTTCTCTCCCCCTCCTCCTTCACTCTTCCTTCATTTATTTGTTTGCTGTGTAATCATCTATGCTCACCATTCACTGGAGCATAATATGGAACTATCACCAACCTACAGATTTCTATGTTCTTATTCACCTACAAATTCTGAATGACACTAATGTATGCTTCCTCATTTTTTAGCCCTTTCCTACTGAACCTATAGCCGTGATGGTGAACCTATGGCACGCGTGCCACTGGTGGCATGTGGAGACATATCTGTGGGCATGCGACTGTTGCCCTAGCTTAGCTCCAGTGCACATGCGTGCGCTGGCCAGCTAATTTTCGGGCCTTCCGGCTGTTTCTGGCCTCCAGAGGGCCTCCGGGGGCGTGGGGAAGACTTTTTTTGCCGTCCCCAGGCTCCAAGCAAGCCTCTGGAACCTGGGGAGCACGAAAAACAGGCCTACCTGGCCCACCATGCCATCATGTGCCAAAAGCGTGGGGAGCATGGGGGGAGGGTCATGTGCGAATGCACAGGGAGGTGGTGCACATTGAATTATGGTTGTGGGCACGCATATGCATGAGGCCCCCACGCTCCCCCCGCTTTTGGCATGCGACGGCAAAAAAGTTAGCCATCACTGACCTATAGTTTCCTTTCACTAATGATATTCATCAATATGAGTACATGCACTCAATAAGAATACAATTCTTAGTTTCATAGAACTTAGCTATTTTCTTATTTTATTCCATTTGCTTAGTGGTGCTTTTTAGCTTTTATTCCTCTTTATGTTCAAAGTCATAGTTTTCCATGTGCTACATTCGTTATCTAATGGATATTGACCTCCATTACCCACTATGGACTTGATCAATCATGTTTTTCACATAACATTTTTAATAAGAACAATTACCAGCCCAAATCAACCTCTGCAAATGTTTACCATAAAGATAGCACCACTCATTTTGCCCAACATACCATAAAAGCAATTAAAGCTTAGTTTTACCCCATACGTGTCTCTGATATTCCAAGCAACCTGGGATCTGTAAGAGACTATTAGGCAAGTTAACATATTGTTACCTACATCCCACCAACTAGGATACAAGCAACTTACTGACATATGCTTAAAATGCAAGGTGCATAATATTTTATTTCAACCTCAAATAGATTCTTGAAAGTTTAATTGTACAGTTCTTGAGTCAACCAACTTTCAATAATAAATTGGGGGATATATTAACAATTAAGAACTGTAGTCAGGGGTTTTCTTTGAGTGTGTACCTTTGAGTGGAGTGGAGTCTCCTGCAATTTTCTTGGCCAGATTTCATAAGTGATTTGCTATTGCCTGCTTCCTAGAAGTCAGAGAATGTGGTTGACCCAAGGTGCATCCAGTTGACTGAATGCCTAAAGCAGGACTAGAATTCACAAACTCTAGCCTTAACTTGTCAGTTTGTAAGATGATCAGTTGTAAGAAAAGTTTACTTTGAATTATATTACAAATGGATTTTTTTTCTCCAGAAAAACAATTGCGAAAATCTCAGGATACTCAGAGAGTATTTTGCTATTATACCCTAAATAGAATTTTAGTAGTGGTGTCTGTTTCCTAACCTTACCTAAATCAAGGGGCTGATGCCCCACATCAGAACTGTCTGTAACAGGAGAAAAAGAAAAGAAATAAAACCCTAAGAGAGTATAGTTAAATTTTTGTAAGACTATTTGGGAATGCTTAGTGCACATGAAATTCTTGCTGATTCTTAGAGGATGAAATATTAACCAGGAGGAATGGGAAATTAAACTGAATATTCTAGGAAAAAACATGATTCATTGATCGATGTATAGTTTTGTTCCATCGAAAGCTCAGGGCATATAATATCTGCCTGTACATTTTTTAAGATAGCTGCATCATGTGACTGCACTCTGCAGCTGTTGCACAGTATAGAAAAAAGTGTAGCTACTTTGAAGAGTTGTAGACAAGTATAGTGTTTGAGCCCCCCCCCCCCCCCGTGATCTCTGAAATATCTTTTGGGTACCATTTGGACTTAAGTCCAAAACATTTCATAGCTCTAATAGTTTACTGATGCAACCTCCAAAGATGAACAATACAGACAGGACAACGTTTTGTTTATTCCTATATATGCCTCTGTATGAATATATTGTAATTAATAAGATATAAACATGTAAAATGAGAAGTGCTTCAGTCTCAATATTATACTAAGCCTCACATTATTCTTATACCATGTGCTTTTGATAGAAATATAAATCAGATTTTTATATTTATGCAAATGCATATGCTGAAACCTCAGGTGCTGTAATGTCTAGCATTTTAGTATGGAATGCACATAGAATTTCAGGATGGATTCAAACAGTAGACTTAAAATGTGAAGCAAGTCAAGATATCCTGTTCAGTTTTAGCCTCCTCCACAATTTATTTTTCTTCATTCCAGAGAATAAAATAAAACTGAAAATCTGAGGAAGGTCAGCACCGCATGTATAAAATGCATTGAAGGTAGATACTATTGCTTAAAGGAGTAAACATCCAACATGAGTCACTTCTTCCCCCTTTTTAATTTTCTACTGCTCAGATTCATGATCTTACCTTCAGTCATTGCATACTGCAGTCTTTAATTAAATCAAGAATCCTGTGTGGAACTATCATGTCTAAAATTTCTATCAGTAAGCCATGTGCTTATCTTTACTCTCCAAAAAGACATGCCTCTTTTTTTTTTTTTGGCAGTCAAAGGAATATCTAAAGGCTAGAAGGCAAGTCAAGCAAAGTTTGATTTTGGCTTGGCATCAAACAAGACATTACTTGGCAGACATCAGCAATGTTAACGAGCATGTCACCCTTTTCCCTAAATCCTCTTTTGCTCAATGCAAGTTATTAGGGCCAAAAGAATAACATCTTAATTATCTGTAATTCCAAAATTGTTTCAGACTTGTCCTGTTTTCTCCATAGTTGGTTCAAATTAAATCAAACCAAACCAAAGTTATGATGATCAAAAAAAAAAAAAAAGACAAACAAAAAAGAGAGATAAAATTATAAAATTAATAAATTGAAATTAGTAATACAAGTCCAAACTGGCAAATCTGAATTATCTGTTGCTGCATTTTTACTGCAGCCACACAAAATTTGGCTCCAATGTTAATATTAGCAAGATTGGAGTCTGAAAGTGTCCTTCTTCAGAGATGTTGCCACACTGTTAGTATGTAATCTTTCACAGATCCCTGTAAAATTTACAGCAAAGTAATTTGTGTTGAACGGTTTCTATTTTCCCAGTGTCATATATGGGGCAGATGTGTTTTGTTAGTGGAGTTTTGATGAATTTGTCCTGCAATAAAGCCAACCAGAGGACATTATGCCCAGTGGTGGGTTGTCCCCAGTTAGTAAAACCTGTGGGAG